CGGTCCCAAAAAGATGAAATACCCAGCGAGTGTTGTGTGGACGAAATGAGAATGGCCAGACTGGTTCACGATGACTGCAACAGGAACTCAAATAAGCACTCGTTACACCCAAGGAGTGCAGAATTGCATCTCTGAACGCACAACACGTGCACAACCTGCGGCTACAGCAGCAGGAGACCACAGCGGGGGTCTCCGGGGGACCACAGCTCCTGTCCGCTAAGACCAGGAGACTATTCACACAGGATCACCACAATGGACATAAGATTGGTGTGGTGAGCTCGGATGCAGAGCGGGGGAGTGGTTCAGGGAAGGGTGAGTAATCATCACAACTGAAAAGTCATCCTGACTGATTGTCTCCGTGACATAAACAGTGAGCAGGACTTTGAGCGAGAGACTGGAGCAGACGCTCCGGGGCAAGGAAGGCCGAGGAGCGGAGCAACGAAGCCACAAACCTGCTTACTGCAAAATAAAGTATATTGTAAAGTAGACCCCTGTGTCCGTGCGTCCTTCATCGAACCCGACGGTAGCAGCTCCAGCACGTTGCCTGGTCTGATGAGTTTTGAGTTCATTCAGATGGTCGAGTCAGAATTTGACAGCGTGGATCCATCCGGCCTTGTGTCATCTGTTCAGGCTGCTGGTGTGACGGCGTCGGGGATATTTTCCTGGTGCAGTTTGACTTTTGTTTGACAACTGATGGGCTACTCATGTATGTGCTGCAGCTATGAGCTATAATTATGTCCATATCATGATTCAGAAGGAAATACCACAAGCTGTTATAAGGGACAAACGTTTATTGTAACCCTAAACGGGGTGAAATACAAAACTACAATAAATAAATTTAAATCTAAAAAACGTCTCAACTTCACCACACACAGACCAGTATTATTATTCCATATAAATATAACATTTGTTATGCGTTGTGTATGTACTAAATAAGGCAAATGGAGGTACAATTTACAGGAAACCGTTCAGTGGAGTATACTTTTTTTTTTTTTTTTTTCCTGACCATAAAAATACCGCTCTGTTTTGTGGGAAAGACATTTGTGGAATAAATCTTGTCTGCACGGTCTGCTGCCTCTGTCTTCTCACATGCCAGTCCTCCACTCCACCCGACGCAGCCATGCTCTGAGCCACGGGTAGGCGAGCCGGGATGCTTGCTGAAGATCCAGAGGGCTGCAGCGCCTTCCTCGTCATCATGCTTCTAGTACCACAAACAGAAGATCCAGCTCATTTTGAGTTAACTCCCAGTGCCCTCCAATCTGTTCACATGTGACATTCTCTGTCCCGGAACTTCCCGGCTCAGACAAAACTCCCCGAAAACCTTTCAATGGGGACTGTAAAGACAAGGTGTCATGAGTCAAATATTAAGATGCTTTGAACTTTCAGAATCAAGACACTTGTATTTTTGCATTGTGGTATGAAGTAAAAGATCAAAGCACTTTCTCCAACACGGAAATAAAAGTATTTTTAGTAGTCAGCCGTAAACTTATAACAGATACGTGTATTGGTTTATATTACATGTCATTTAGCAGACGCTTTTATCCAAAGCGACTTACATTACATTTTTAACCCATGGCTTTTTAAATCTTTGCCCGGGGAGCAGTTATGGGTTAGGTGTCTTGCTCAGGGACACTTCGACTTGAGACATAGGGCAGCCGGGACTTGAATGACTTGATGTTGGACAATTACATACATATACTAGACCTAGAAATATTAGTTATGAGCTTTTCGGCAGTGTCTCCATCACAGTCGATTTTTTTCTGTGTGAACGCATACATATTTCAATAGAGATAGATAAATGATAGATATTTTGCCTTGAAACATGTTGGTCTATTCAGAAAAGAAGTGGCCTCTAAGTGAATTTGAGAGGTCATTAAAATAATCCTTTGCAATCCACAATGTCATATTGCATTTGTCTTGTCTGGGGGATGTGTGTCCGACTCGCACACATGGGTGCACACACCTTCTACAAAGGGCAACATTTTATTTGCAAAGGTGGTGTAGCATGCCTGCAGCATGGCTTCTGATGCTCGGTGACTCACTAAGGACATGGACACCAACACAATGTTCCTCACGTGACCCCCCCCCCCCCTCCGTTCCCCCCATGTTTCCCATGGTAATGCTGCAGGATGCTGGTGATCCTGACTGTACGCGGCCAACATGCTGGTAGGAGACGCTTATTCCTTTATTCAACATTTATTTGTTCTATCCTGTACCTCTATGTGGCAAAAGGTTGTTTTGAGACAAAAATACACCTGCTTTTTAATCTTTAGTTTCAATGACGTGCCAACATATTGATGTCCAGTGTGAAGGTTGGCTGTTTTTGTTTGTCTTTAGTTGGTTAGACACAATATTTAATGTAGGTATTTCAGCTCTTAAAAAAATAAGCACACTGTAAAAAAAAAAAATTCACCAATTAAGGTAATATTTTGGTAGATTATTTAATAAGGAAAATACTCATGCGGACCAACCATCTATGCCAGGACTTAAAACTCAAGATCACTTTAAATCGCTTTCCTAATTTGTATATTCTCCAACACATTATTTCATATATCAAGAATATCTGAGTTCATACAGTTTCTATACCCGTTGGCGACCCGATGTTCCAAGAATGACAAGAGGATCAATTCAAACTCTGAGTTAAAATGAGAATCGGACCCAAGTGTAAATAACCGACTCTTCCTGTCCAGAAGGTGGCAGCATCGGCCAACAGATTTTCGTTGCAGCTTTGATTCTTCGCTCTGCCAGCGGCAAAGATGAGAGAGGGTACCAATCAAAAACTGCAGCTGTGACTCACTGTTGAAGAACCATAATTCCAACAGCTCCATCCATTTAGCTTTGTGTCCGCCATTCCTATCGTCATCGGGACTAAAATGTTTGATGCACTCACAACACAAACTTTGGTAGGTTGTTTGTACATAACTCCCAGATGTTCTCATTTGGGCCAAGACCGCTGCTGCTCTGTGGTGCTCACACATCCGCTTTAGGGAGCCCAGAACCATGGTGTGGTGATGCTGGATGCCAACAAAGGAGAACACTGAATCAGCTCGTGGGTGCAGCGTTTGGGGCACCCCCCCCCCCAGTCACCCCACCCATCAACTCCCCTGAGCCCTTATTTCCCCCTTGGTTTAGTCCTCCCGTGGCCACCCACATCGCCGTGACCACACCTCTCGCCCTTTTGCCATGTTGTAACTTCTCATTGCAATCAGCTGGGAGCGACGGCCTGTTGAGTCAGCCCTGCTGCAAATCTGTGGGCAGCTCTGCGGCCCGCAGCTAAATGGTGGTTTTAAAGCATCAAATCTTTTGGGCGAGGAAGTTGATGGGGAGTAAAATAGTGATTATCGTTGTTTGCTATGATATGGATTCTTTTTTTTTCTGTAGTACACAGGAAACCTGTAAGTATCCACACGTGAGGGAGTGCCTCGGGGTGCCCCTCGTCCTGGTGTTGCATGTTTGTAGCAAAAGGTCAAGTCTACATAACGAGCTGGGATTAATGGCGTAGTATAGCCGGGTTGTTTTTGGGGCCCTGCCAGGAGACCAGCCTGGTGCAGATGTGGGGCCTCTGATCTGCAAACACAGCAGTGTGATCCAGAGTGGTGTGGCAGAAGAAGAAGAAGAACGGCCCACCACCATTAACGTCAGAGTACGTGTGTTTGATTTCTTATGTCTGTGTTTGCCTTGATGAAAAATTAAGATCAACTCTAAAACTAAACACCTAAAACCTTTTTTTAATTGAGGCAGCCACTCTGGATGATGCCATCGATGTGGTCAACAGGAACCCCTATGGCAACGGTACAGCTATCTTCACCACAAATGGCGCCACTGCACACAAATACACTCCCGAGGTGGACGTGTGCCAGGTGAGCGGCTGCAGCCTCCAAATGCGTTCCTCTGTTTTGAGAGAAAGGAGGCATTCACGTCCCTCTGTCATGTCTAAACAGCACCTCAAGTAGGGAGCACATCACATGTCTGTTTGAAAAGCTTCACACACACAAACTATCTTTTTTTTCCATGTCAAGGATAGCCTTGTTTGCCCCTAACCTAATATACACACATCTGGGAAGCGCTCCCCCCCTGCAAACCCCCACGAGTCAGGACTACAAATAGCCTCAGTAAATACGTGTCTCTTTAAAGAAGACAAGGGGGACATAGAAACGTGTTTTCCTGCTAGTATTCAAAGAGGGACATCTAAAATTAAACTGCGAAGGGATTCCTACGGTTCTATTAGGCATAAGCATGGCCAGACCCCCTGTTTGTTTGACGGTGGAGCCTCAGTTATGTCCCGTGTTTGCTGTTCACAAGTCGGGGAATGCTGAGCAGGCCATGTGCTGTTCGGCGCTCCAAACCTCCATGCAACAAACAGCGACTTTTTCTGGCCAAAAGGTGTCCTGACTTATTCCCGCTGTTTCAAACTCTCTAAACCAATCATTCCGTGCCTTCACAACAAAGTTTTATTTAGTTTTCTCTTCCCTTTCGGAACAATATGTGCTTTCAAAAGTGCAAATATAAGCCGCAAGTTTGGCTTTGTTTAGTGGGATGATGTAAGCTTGTTTTTTTAAAAGGTATGGATATACCACATCTATCATCAGCCGCCTCCTAACTCAGACCCAACAATTTAGAATCCTGGGGAATTGTTTTACAAACTTACACTTATGGAAAATACGGGTTTTCTGCAGCTTGGAGGCAGTTCCTGTCCCTTTGCACTGCCCATGTTTTCTGTTACTGGCTCAACAAGGTACTTCAGAGGGGATTTCTACGGGAAACAAGTATGAACTAAACAATGCATCCTATTGTTACAGGAATAACAAATACACAAATGTTGAAAAGTTGAGCTGTGAAAGTCTCTTTTGCATTTCTATAGGGAATCCAGTTCTACTGTACACACGGATCAAACTGTAATCTCCCAATGGGAGGCTGAAGATGCTACTTTAACGAGTCCTGCAGCTACTATAGCCACCACGGGATGCTAAGTACTCCTCCGCTGCCATCAAGCAGATAAACACGGTTGCAGTTGTTTATTTTGTATCGCCGAAAATTACAAATTTGCCTCAGAGGGCTTTACAGTGTGTACCCCGTCACAACACCCTCACATCAGTGCATCAGTGCAGGAAAACCTCGTGATGGGGAGAAAAAGGGAAGGAAAAAGGAGGGATCCCTCTCCTGGGATGGACAGACTGCAATGCCATGTGTACAGTATGAACAATGTGAAAACAACAAAAGTTGTACAGTACGGAAATGTGATGTCTGTTTTCGTTTTTTATACAATCGGTGAATAAAATGACTTTCCTTCAAATGATACGTTCATATTCTTCTGTGATTCTTAGAACGGCTTTGTTTAGTCAGTTGGTAGTTGTGTTAAATATGTTGGTAGAAACAGGGTAAATTCTAACATTTTGTTTTAATTCAAAGACGTTTTGGCAGAATAGTGTGTGTGGTTTTTGACTGGTAGTTAGTGTGCGGTCTTCCTACGTACAAGCACGAAATGTTTTTGTGTACTGAGTACCATCATTTAAAATGTGAATTTTCATTTCATGATGCACTGCTTTTCTACAGATCTTGTATTCAATGTGTGAATAGATGATCTGTCAATGTCAACTGGAGCAGAGTTTAACGGTGCAAAAAGCTGCCAGCTGTGTCGAAGTTATTGGAAATATTACTTCCTCAAATACAACACGGGTGTTGAATTTCTTGAGTATTTCCTTACTTTTGCATGGACACTGCATCATGATTTTTAACATCAACTAATGGACATTCCGTTGTCAGCAATCTGTTTTTGTTTTGAGGAGATGGATCTGTTTAAAATGGTGAAGCTTTTCTTTTTTTAATTCTGTGAATTGACAAACTTCATACACAAGTATGGTAAAATATTAATAATGAGCACCCACAAAAAAGGCATTCCACTACACACTGGACATCAGCAGAGGCAAACGATCCCCCACTGAGGTGCCACACAGAGGTCACACAGAGGTCATGCGCTGTGTATATCAGGCAGGCTGTTTGTGTTCGGGGGCAGAACGGACTCTGGTGCCTGGGTGATGAAGGTCGCCGGGGAGAGCTCCTCTCTCGTTCTGAAAAACAGCCATTAAGCAACGCTAAAATGCAACGTACTAATAAATCAAATGGAGGCAATCGCGTTGCTTCTCCCTCTAAAACGTGGAATGTGGCACCAGTAAATGGGTACTGGCGTCGTAATTGCTGAGGATGAGCTACAACGTTTATTCCCATACATTCCTTTGGCGTCTTACCCCGCAGCATCGCTGTCAATGAGCTTCTTCATCTCAGAGGAGGCAGGCGAGGCCGGGTGTCTGCTGGCTTTCCTATCAGGAAAATGCAAAGTTGTAGTTAAATGCAGAGCTTCTTGGGGGGGAAAGCCTTGTTTTAGCACGCTGGTGCCTCTTCGCTCCGGCCGGCAGACTGTCGTGGAGGGAGGGTTACTCGTGGGTAAACCAGATGAACATGTTCTTTTGATGCTCCGTGTTATTCTGCCGGACGAGGTGCCAGACCACTGCTAACGCTAATATATCTCCGCCTGCCCGCCGTACCTCCATACATTCATATCCCCTGCACACTCCTTTTTTTGAAAATCATGTTACCAGCTGCTCCCTGGCCACAGGCGTTCAAAGAACAAAATAAACTGCGAGTGCATGTGAAGAAGGGCCAATGAGCTGAAAGCAAATCGACGTGACCAGATGTTTGTTTCCAAGCACACGACTCTGTGGCCGGGCCTATTTTTACTATTGTGCCCAGACTCTTTCTTCATTCTTTTTAAGCAGCTGGATGGAAAAGAAAATTGGTCGAAGCCTAACTGATGTTTTATGGTATCCTCTTCTGCTGAGAAACAGGCTGTTTATAACATTAAGAAGAGGGAGGAGTCACCAGAAGTTCAGCCTGACCAACTGCTTGGCGTCACTGCCTTTTGTTCCCCACAGGCAATCGATCCATAAGTCCATTTTCAGGGATGTAATTTAGGATTAACGTAACAAACACGCCTTTTGCTAAGACAAACATCATACAAGCATTGGCTGTTTTTTAATTACCTTTCCTTCTGTCCATTCATTTTAGCAAAGAGCAGCCGGAGTACTTGTTCCTTCTGCTCCCAAGTTAGATCTGTGACCTCAACTTGGCTGCCTGGTTGATGAGTCCTTGAAAACAGTTGGTAATAAAAATGCATGTTGACCCCTGGTGTTGTACACGTTGTTTCTCATATTGGCTTCATCAAGATTAAGCATGAAAGGGGCAAGAAGAAGATAGAAAGAAGATAAAAGTTGTGGAAATGATCAGCAAGTGGACCTACCACCTTGCCGCCGCCTCCATGTCTGAATAGACTGAGTTGGTACTGTGGGGGCCTTTCCGAAACGTGCGTATAGGTGGGAACTTTTGTTTTCCTGCTGTGGCCTCCCTCAGCCGCCTGTGATAAGCCTGCAGTGCCTCCTTTTTGTACTGCGACCTGGTGGCCGTGATCTCCTCCTTCACCTGAGCCAGGGCCTCGTGGAAGAACCGCTCCATCTCTGTGCGCTGCTGCACGATGCCGCTCGCCAGCCGCTTCACGTTCCCCAGTTCCCTCTCCCGCATGGAGAGCACCCTGCGGAGCTCCTCCAGCTCTACCTGGCCGGCCGGGATGCTGACCAGGGTCTTCTCCTTCTCCCCCCCTCTCCCGGGTCCCTCCTCTTTTAGCTCCAGGGCCTGCTCCAGGTAGGTTACCTTGGCCCTCAGCTTGGATAGCTCCTGGTTTTGGGCCTGCATCTGAGCTGCGTTTTTCTTTACCATCAACTCCAACGTGTTCTGGGGAGCAAAACAGAGAAAATGCAACTATGGAAGATCCTTTTATTTTCCTGCCAATGCAGAGCTGGAACAGATAATGGTTTGTGTGCTAGCCTGTGCTGCTGAGGGGCCAAGGTGGATCTACTTCCTGTATTTACTGTCATCATCAGAGGTACGATTAATGTGCCAAATATTTATTTGTCTGAAGGAATCAGTGCCAGAAATTTGCAACGGAGAAGCCACTGAATTCAAAGCCATACACTACTGGAAAGTCACCACAACCACCGACCACTGAGAGGCTGGGTAGCAGTCAGGAGGTGGAGGGGTATACGAGTAGGACCACAAGCAAAATACACAGGGTCAGCACAGGTAAACAACACATGGGGAAAAAACACCTGAAATACCTGCACAGGTCTAAGTGTTTCATAACTGAAATGATTGAAAATGACTTTATGGAGATGAACGGTTTCTATCCAAAGACTGCCTGAGAGTAACACTTCTGTTTGCTGTTCTATGGGTCGTACACACCTTGTCCAGTGCCAGGGAGGCCTTTTCCTTCTCCATTGAATTTGCCAACATCTGCAGTAGCTCTGACTCCTTTATGTGATATTTCAGTGCTTCGTTGAGTCGGACGTTCTCCTTGAATACAGAGCGCGAGGCGTCATCCAACTGCCTACATTGTGTGCAGGACAAACAAAAAAGCCTCTGACAAAAGTGTCTCTGATAAAATATCCCTATAAATATTAATTTCATGAGAGGCATAATTAGTTCTGTTTCTCTACTGGCTCAGTGTACTTTTATTTATAAAGGCAAGCTGTGTGTTCAAAATGAAATAAATGACTGACACTAAGACCAAACCTGCAGGACCACACCAGAATCAATGTTGATGTTTTATGAGCTGCAGAACCTAGCTAAACACAGCAGTAGTAAAATAAACATCTTATGGCCTCAGAAGGTAATAAACTATGGTTCCCCACACACATTACACTTCCTTGTTCGGGCCAGCTGGAGATGTGATCATTGGCTTGGATGATGTGCATTATCTGAATATGACCGGCCGGCGTGGTCAGGAAAATGGCATTAGTTGTAGTTATATATATTTAAATACATAAACACTGATGCGTGTTCATTATTGTTTCTGCGTTTTCTGAGGACCTCAAAGTGCAGCTTAAAGAATAACGTTAGATTGTGAAAGGAACAGCAGAAACACACTCACACGATGGCTTCAACGTGGGCCTTCTCCTCCACCAGGGCGATTGTTTTCTCAGCTTCCCTCTCCAGGCGAATCTGCAGGGACATTTAGAAAGCTCACGTAATGTTTGACCCGGTTATTTCACCTCACTTCAGCCGGTATCTTCCAGATTGACCAGAGAAGGATTATTTGACTAAACAATACCTTTTCTAAGAAGAAGTTTTGCTCCAATATGTTGAGCTTTTCCCTGTGGTCCTTATCGGCTGCATCCATATTTTCTCTAATCTACAAAATAAAAAGCTCAAGGTTGTTGGTCGCATTCACATCCTGACAAGAGGATCAACCGCTCCCAATAAGAGACGCTTATTACTGTGTTTATTTGCACTCACATCAATGAGCTCCTGCTCCATCTGGGATTTCCTCTTCTGAAATTCCTTAATTGTCTTCATCCCATCTTGGATCATATCAAAATCACTGGACTTCTTTGTGAACAGTTCCTTCATCTCATTGATTTGCTTTGTGTAATCTTCAACCTGTGGAAACATATTAGATACACAGAGTGAAAACTGAAATTGAATGTGTGCCTTAACTCTTCTGCCCATTTGGATAAAGTACTATTGAGTTGTAACAGTTTGGCAAGTTAAGAGTTACATACAAAGATCTCACATACTCTTTTTCAAACCAACTTAAGCACAGATCAGTCGGCCGAAATACCTCAAGATGCAACTGTGGAAAAGCCTGTAAGAGCAGAAATGTGACAAGATGACCAAAGTCACGAGAAACACCCAAAACACTCACCCACTAACATGTAGACGGGGACTAAATGAGAGGTTATCGACCATCTGCCTGCCACTTTAGGCCTAATGTTGTTCTTCACATAACGTGGTCATCTACATAATCAAATCAGGCGCTGTGCAAAGTTGGTTTGCATCATATGCAATTTTCCCTCTGGGTGACCGACCAGACGTTCAACATCCCGAAAAGTGGCCGCAAGTTCACGTAAAACAGGGACGACATGGTGATGTGCTGCACGAGTCGATGATGCACAGGAACTGCAGTTTGTTTTCATGCTTTCAGTGGAGTAGTTCCATTTAGCTGAGTCCATCTTGCTTCACAGGGACACACAGGGGCTCTGAACTGCATGTATTGGTGTCCCATGTTCCCAGTAAACCACATGTAACAGTTCCATACATGTCAGTAGGAGGGGTGTTTCACGTTAGTCCAGAACATGCCTCCTTTTTCATCTCCAGAAGCTTATTGTATGGACTCAATGAGATTGGAAAACAGCTGTAGATATTAAATGAATCCCTTTAATGGTTTGATCTCGACTACAAGCAGCAGGACCCGGTTGATGTGACTAACATATTAAATGTAAACCTGCAGACAGATCACATTGTTTATCAGGGTCATATGGCGCATTCTACAATGAACAAGCTTGAGCAAACTGGGTGTTTTTTATGTTTGAAAAAAAATAAACTCACCACTTTCTTTTGTTCTTTACGTGCAAGTTCTTCTTGAGCTTTGAGGCTTTTCTGCAGAACGTTGATCTGTTCAAAAAAAGACGCCGTAGTTTTAAAAAACAGGAGCCGATCATTCACATGTTTTTTTTACCGCGCGTGTGTTGACCTTCTTCTCTTTGGCCGCGTCCTGTCTGCTCAGGAAACCGGTGATGTCGATGGCGTCCTGCTCCGCTCGGTACAGCCGGTCGGTGAGCTCTTCGTTCGCACGGGCCAGTCTGCGCGAGGCCTCCCGGTACTCGACGAGCGAGGTGTCGGTGACCCGGAGCCTCAGCTCCCACAGGGCCGCGGCGGCCTTGGCTTTCTCGACGTCAGACTCCTTGACCGCTTTGGTCTCCTGTTTTCCATCTTTCTTCCCTTTGCTTTTTTTTGTGGGGGGGGGGGGGGGGGGGGGGGGGGGGGGGGAATATAACAAAGACACAAAAGGGGGGAGTTTTTTTATTGTTTTTTTTTTTGTTTGAATGAAGGGAACAAATGTCGGCACTTACCCGGCTTTCGCTCGCTTTACTTTGGCGACTCTCTTCTTCTGCATCGTTGCTGAAGTCGAAGGTGCCACCGCCCCGTGAACTTACCGGGGCCGGTGCCGGTCGTGTTTGTGTGCTGTTGTTGCCATGCGGTGGCGCGTTCTGTTGTTGTTGCCATGGCAACCGAAAGGTTCAGGTTTCTCCGGTCCAGGACCTTTATGTCACTCGGGCCTCGGTGTGTTTATTACACACGACTTGAATCAAGCTTGTTTGTTCGCTGTTTGGTCTGATCTGATCGTCAAATGAACCCTTTTTGGTGTAAATTTCCTATTTTCCCCCTCTTCGTGGAACAAAGTAATCGTTAACGTTATCATTTACACGTCTGCTGTGTCCAAAAATGTCAAATCAACAAAAATGTAATAATTCAACAAATAATAGGCCGCATGTAAATAAATTAGTAGATTTGAATGAAAACACCCCTTTACTCACAGAATGTATTCATCCTCAGTGATCCTCACCTTCTGCTAAACATTTGATTGAGGTTTACATGAATCAATCACTTCCAATCCCTGGGAGTTTGTAAAATAAAGACGTCTCGCACTATTTGTAACTAGAATCTTCTGAATATGAAATGCATTTCACTCCTAAATCCAGATTGTCCTACAAAGAACTATATGTTACTTGCTGCGACCGCCGGAGTTTGACTGATGTTATAGGAAAACCACTAAATGCTTTTGGCTTACATCTCCGAAGAAGCTCATCCAAAAGAAATAATGTATAGTTAGCGCAGGTCATTATTTAAACCCACTGCATTCTCTCAATTATCTTGTTCAGCTTTTCCTCTGGCGACTTGTGTCCAGCGTAGATTATTTATCAAACAAAAAAGTAAATATCACAAAAGTGTTGGGTGTAGCTTCTGCAAACTGAATCGGATCGGGTCACTCTCTGCTCTGGCTTCATCAACGGAGTTTGAAGACTAAATTTAAAGGTAATTACTATGACAGTGAGGAGAGAACACTAAAATAACCCTGAGCTTTTCCAAGCTGTCATTATCACTGGAATTGTAATGACAAGGTTTGGGACTCTTCAATGGACTTCTTGGGGTAGGACACCCACAAACATGGCATTCCTGAGGGTAACATTGCAGCATATTAATGATATATTGCACAGTGTAGATTACAAAGCTGGAGTCTCTTCTCATGCTTTATGGTTTCAGTTAACTTGAAACAAAATACCAAAATGTCCTTTAAAACATTGTGTTTGTAATGTGCAGTGTCATGCTGTAGGAGGACACTTTACATACTGATTATAGAGTTAGAGTTCACGTTTGGATGACGTCCTTACATGATTTGTCGACATAGAGAACTTTGAGCTCGGGGTTCGCTTAACGTTATTTTGTATCCTCAATGCTAAACGATTCCAATTGTCTTAGATACATGTTTGATACTTCCGGCAAGCAGTGATTATCCAGCAATTACCTTAAATGTCTGTTGTAAATATCCATATTCATTTGACATTTTACCAAGAGGGCAGTTCCTATTGCATCACATTGTAATGCTTTTACAATGCCCATTAGGTGTGTTTAAAACTGAAATGTGCTGTGATTCATGCACCAATAGCCCGAGGTGGAGTGCAGCTGTCTAAACTCTACACATTATCCAAAATAATTGTGACATTCAGATGTGTCTGAACATTAACAGCATTTAACGTCATTTTGAAAAAAAATGTAACAAGGACTCCAAAATGAAAACAGGGCTTCTTTAATATTTTACATTTGTATCCAGGGTTTATTAGTCACATTATCACATACGTTAACATGCAGGCAAGACATCTACTGGCACAAGCACGGGAGAGGTCCTGCACATGGAGCTTTGATAAGGGCGAAGGACCATTCTGGCGAGCCGCAGGATTGAAGAAAGTAGCCGCAGTATTCAGAAAAAGGAAGGAGGAAAGAAAGTCCAATATTTTTAGTTCAAATTACAGTGCTTTGAAAAGTCAAGTGTCCTGGGAGCGGAGGAAGAACATTGGTTCCAAGCCCCACCCTCCCCACATTGTCCCCTCTGTGGGCTTCGTGCAACTCCTTTGTGCCCATCTGCAGGACCTCTGCGCTTCCCCTCCACCCTCCCAACTGGGCTGCAGCCGACCGCTCGGGTTCTGCCTCGGTAGCCTGCTGCCGGGGGTGAAACAGTCATGCACGAGAACATGTTAGGTCAGGCCTGGGGCAGGTTCAGTGTCCATAGGATGCCTCAGTTGCTTTACCAATGCCTCCTGTTTCTCTTCTGGTGATACAGAGAAATATCACAGCGCTGTAAAAATCTCAGTTCATGTAAGGTCCCTGACCTGCTCTGTCCCTGACATCCTCAATGCCTCTGCACCCTGCAGTGAAGCCAGTGACTGAACATTACCGCGAGACAGCATTAGCCGATACATTACAGCATGTTTTGTGACGCCCTGCCAAACACACCACCAAAACAGCCGCTCATGCTTTTCATGCATTTTCTAGTGAGACGTGCCTCACGGTCCAAATATTTTTCCCTCGGAAAGCCTGTGGTTAACACGAGGATGAGTGGGAGTGAGATGATTCGCAACATTTTTATTTACTTTTTTTGCTAGCTGGAGTGCAGGTCATGTTTGTATTTTTTTTTAAGGATGGTGAAGTGCCGAAGTAGAATTTAGTGTGGCGATTATTGCATGATTATGAGGATCAGACATGACTCATTCCAAAATGATATGTAGTGATACCTGATAAAACGGAGTCAAGTCAGAATCCATTCTAGCAGCAAAACACAATGAGTTTCAGTCTTTACCAGGTTTACGAGTTTCTTGTTTTAATTCACTGTTTTATCTAAAAAATCAAAATATACTGTACGTTAAATGCAATTTAACTTACCCAGAAGGTTAATTCCAAAGATTAGAAAATGCAAGAATTACTGGTGTGGTTTTATTACTGCTTAAAAAAAACTTAAATCACTCTTAATGTAATATGTAGGTTTCTGAAGAATTTCTGAGCCAAGTTACAATGTGAGTCTTAAATACGCCCATAAAATAGAAAAAAGTATTACTAGTGAAAGTAGTAAAAGTATTTTAAGACCATTTCTTTTGGGTTTTTAGTTTAAGCCATTCATTTAAACTTCTTTATAAATCCCTTTCTACTTTCTTTAGGGGATTTCTTTGGCTCTGGGAAAACCAGTAAAGATGAGGAGGGGAAAACATGAGAAGCCCCCTAAAAGGCAAATGCTGTTGGTAGGCAGGTAGTCTGTCTCAAGTCAGCACACCAGAAGAAGGAGGGGGGGAGAAGCTCCTGATGGAGTTGGGATGGACCTCCTCAGGATTGGTGGATGGCTTCACTCGCCTTGGCCCCGTGCCAAGCCCATATGTCTTTATATACTGTGAGCCGCTGACCGGACTGTCCTGAGTCCCGAGTCCCTCTGTCTCTCTCTGTCCCTTCTCTCTCTCTCTCTCTCTCTGCAGGGCCGCAGTCCATCTTGAAGTCCAGCATCCTACCGGCTCTTCTTCTCCCCCGCACACCCTCCCCCGGAGCCATGCACTCAATGGCCCCGCTCCTCACCTTATCCGCGTGGCTCCTGGCCGCGAACCTCGTGGCGGAGGCGACCTACTACCGGCACCACCGCTACGTGCCCTACTTCTACCGCTACCGGGGTCACTCCGCCAACGCAGAGAACCTCCTCCCGGAGGTCCCCGACCCGACGCCCGGAGCCGCGCAGCCGGGCGCGCCGATCCCCGAGGTGATCAACCCGCGACCCGAACTCCTCGACCCCGCGCCAGAAGCTTTCCACCCGGCGCCGGAGGTGGTGCATCCGATCGAAGAAGCCTCCCCCGCTGGCGACGCGAACCGGGTTTTCTACGGGGTCATGTTTGACGCCGGGAGCACGGGCAGCAGGATTCACGTCTACAGGTTCATCCAGAAAGATCCCGGTAAATGCGCGCACTTTCTCCCGCCAACCTCTCCGGGGAGCGACGGGGCACGTGCTGCTCGCGCGGCGGGCTGTCAGAGGATAAACACGCACCGGCGCGGTGCAGCTTCTAAAAGTAGCCGGTGCTGCCTGCTGTGTGGGAAGCAGAGCTCTGACACTGAATGCACACGTTAGGGGGGGGTACGAGCTTTTAGAACACATGTCGTGACTCGTAGAAGAAAATCTATGCAATTTACATGCACTTGAAATTTTATTTTATCCATATAAATAACCCCCGAGCTGCACTTTATGATCTGTTCACCCACACTGACTTCTCTTTCAGTTGAACTGCCCGTCCTGGACCACGAAATGTTCCACGCAGTGAAGCCTGGACTGTCTCATTATAAGGACAATCCTGAGAAGGTTTGTGTGCATGTCTACACCATCACTTATTATTAATTATCAGGTAAATTAGGGAGTTGTCCGACGCGTGCAAACCACTGGGATTTTCTTTGGGTTGGGTTCATGTGATGTAAACACTGTATAATTACAAAAAAACGCCTCCTGCTGATGCTGTCACTGCTGCCCGCTCCCGGCTGCTGTGCCTTTTGATGCACGCGAGCTTCACCAAGACCTTTGTAGTAAAATGTCTTAGCTTGAATACATAATTCTCTCCATTTAATGACCGTGATGCATGTAACCGATTGTCACCTCTCCTGCAGGGTGGCGACACCATCCGACAGCTGCTGAAGGTTGCTAAGAAGACGGTGCCGGAGGAGGACTGGGGGAGGACCCCGGTGGTCCTGAAGGCCACGGCGGGTCTTCGTCTGTTGCCTGAAGACCAAGCCAATGCTCTTTTGGAGGAGGTGAGGCACGCTTTCTCTCTGCACTCAGACAGTTTGGCACAAAAACCACCCGTCGCGCCAAGAGAGGGATGAGAAACCACTAAGTGCTTACAAGTGTCACTGAAAAAGAAAATAAGGCAGCGAGTCTGCCCATTTGGTGGCTATCGTGTTGCAAAAAACAGCTGTTGTGGGGTTGTGCGGAGTGACCATATTTGTCATTTAAAGGATAAAATCCAGGCTACTGTTCCAGCCATGCTTGTGGTTGAGTTATCTGTCACTCTTGACACCGAGCAGAGCCTGAAGAGACTATATCTTGACAACAGCAGGGTATTTCGGAGTGTAGTCATGTTTCATTGTCTTATTTTGACACGTATCCAGGAGATAATAGTAATGAAATTGTGATAAATCTATTCCATAGGTGCGGGAGGTGTTTGACGAGTCCCCTTTCTTTGTGCCAAACAACAGTGTTTCCATCATGGAAGGAGCAAAAGAAGGTGGGTCACCTATTTGTACTATATAGTACACAAAACACAAGATTTCTTTAATTTCAATTTTGACAGCTTTATTGTCTGACCAGGTGCTTTTACTGCCTCATTGACCGAGGATGCATCAAACCGTGCTGCCCTCGTAACTCGTTTTACAAGATGTCTTGTTACAACCTCGCTTAGGAAAAGAAATAAGCCATTGTGAGTCGTCGCCCCACGCCCAATAGTTTAGTGCTATCCCTCCACATTACTCATTAAGACACCCTCACTATGTTATGTCTCACCATGCAGCATGTTGCCCTTCATTATCCTCGCTTTATGAGCGCAATAACTTAACATCTGAGACAATTGTAATTACCTGGGCTGGTCTGCAACACTAACTGTTAGTTGCACCAACTCTGCTATTTTAGCTTCAGCACAATGACCGAGAGCTGAAGTCAAAGTAATCTTCAGTTCTGCGTTTGTTCTTCCGCGCCTGAACACATTCAAAAGCGAAAAATGTAGCGTAGGTCGGTTTCGTCACCTCTCAGGCTTTTACTAATGCCCGCATTCTCACCCCTGTGCCGTGTTTTAGGAGTCCTTGCCTGGGTCACGGTGAACTTCCTCACAGGTAAGACGTGGCGTGTGTTTTGCTGTGATGGTGTTAGGGGTCAGCAGGCTGATATCTGGGGGCCTCCGGTGTACACAGATGTCTGGCAGTGACAGACTCCTGTATGAGGCTGTGAGCTGGAATTGATGGCTCCAAACAAGTTGTGAAAAACAATCCACCTTGAGCCCAAGGACTTGTGTCACTCTGGCAGAAGTGTTTGTAAAAGCAGAAATTACAGCTAAAACTGGCGATGAAGTCTGAATCCTGCTCTCTTTAATGGCACCTCATCCGGTTTAACCTCCATCTCATTCTCCATAGGTCACTTGTACTCCAACACCAGGAAGACGGTGGGCATCCTGGACCTGGGCGGAGGATCCACACAGATCACCTTCCTCCCCAAGTCAAAGGTAAACGATTAATTGTATTTGACAGATAAGTTTAAATTTTCTGTTTGAAAATAGCATCACCAAAATCAAGCCGCTAAAACCTTCGTTTTTCATCCAACAGAAAACGGTTCAGTCCGCTCCCCCCACTTACATCGCTCAATTCAACCTCTTCGACCATATGTATCAGGTCTACACGCACAGGTAATTAACGGATGGAGAAGTTGTCGTGGGTTAGACTCTGCCCCTGTGAACTCCACAGTCAAGTGTTTTAGCTGAGAACTTACGCATCTGTCACCATCACACAGTTACCTCGGACACGGGCTGTTTGCGGCTCGACTGGCAACTCTCGGAGCACTGGGAGCTGATGGTAGAGTTTGTGGTTTATTTCATGACGCCTTTATTTGCACTTTGGGTAAATCCATCTTAGCGTCTTCATTGAGAGAAAACACTTTTTTTTCTTTTCCCAGGGCTGGATTGGAAAGTCTTCACTAGTTCCTGCCTCCCGAAAAAGTTCAGAGACGAGTTTACTTTCGGAGGAAACATCTACCAAGTGAGCGGGATTCCAGACGGTAAGATAAAAGCACCCTGAGGCTTCGATTGCCTTCCAAGTGCTTTGCATGCAGCGGTCTGTGCATTCCTTCCTCAAACTCCAGCACCCATAGAGGACAATATAAGACGGCTCCTCGCGAGAACATTCATCCCCTGTGACCTTGGAGCAAAACGCATGTTTTGTCATCCTCTCTCTCTCTCTCTCTCTCTCTCCCTCCCCGTCTTCCCCTCTCGGACAATTATACTGCAGTCAACCTTGTATTTAAACGAAAAGAAAACTGTCAGTTAACTTCACAAGTAAGGCAGTCACTCCCATACCACAGTCAAGTGGCCAAAAGATGCCAGGCTTGTCCCCCAAGTTGGTGTTTTTTTGTGTGTAACGAGCGGCTTGATCTGAACAGCTCACAATTATGTGGTATAAATAGAGAGGCCAACAGGGCCGCAGTGACTGCCGCTCTTGTCGGGCGCACGGCTTTGCCGGTAAACAAATGAGCCCAGCGTATCCGCGGGGCTGCGTGAAACTTGTCCTTCCGGGGCTTCCCTTGTATATTGTCTGGTGAGCCCGCGGCTTGGACCCCCCCCCGGGCTAACTTTGAAACTGAAGCTTTAGACTCTCACGATATCCATTCCATCCGGTGCTCCACCTTTTCCAATATTAGTCAAGAAACCCTTTGACCTTTTCCGTTTCTCTCTTTCCTCAGGCTACGCGGGATACAAGCTGTGCTACCACGAGGTTAAGAAGGTAATCAAAGGAATAGTGCACCAGCCTTTTGAAGTGAAGGGCAGCAGTGTCTTCTATGCCTTCTCCCACTACTTTGACAGAGCTGTGGACTCTGGCCTCATTGGTGAGTGGGCACAGACCACAGCGTCAACACCAGTGTCATTATCTTTCATTGTCATTATGGTCCTTTGCACAAAATAGGTATGCAGATTGCGTGTTTGTTTGTTTTTCCGGCACAGATGGCAGCCGAGGCGGTTCCGTTGAAGTCAGAGATTTTAAGAAGAGAGCCAAGGAGGGTAAGAGTTACATATCACCGCGTCTACGGTTAGAAGTTGCACATATCAGTAATTTAATGACTGAAACTATCAGCCCAAGAGTGTGACACTTGCATTGCCCGCGTGGAACCAGAGCTATAACAAGTGGGAAGGAGATGGATGGTGTTATGCAAGGCTGTTTGCGTTGTGAGAACACCGTCACATGGTCTCGGGGAACAAGTCTGGCACAGACCGGCTGACCCGAAGACGTCTGTCTGGCCCCGGCAGGAGGGCACCTGACAGCCACACACCAGCCGGGGGCTGACACATACTGAAACACGCAAACTGTGTACTTACGGGGCCGTTTAACGCTGCCACCCACCCCGCAGCCTTGTGCTGACCCTCGGCTGTTCTGATCGCACCTCCCTGTTTATTTAACCAAACAAAACAGAAAGATCACCTTATAATCACGTAGCGCAGGGGTAAGAAAAGGTGTTTTATTTGTCAATACATGGGTCTTGATTCCAGGATATGATACAACAAGGTGTGTCTGTCAAATGCTTTCATTCTTTGTCAGTGGTGTGTGAAACCTGTATTAATGTTATGTCTGAAACCTGTGGTTATTTGTGTTTGCAGTGTGCAACAAAATGACCAAGTACCGTGCTGTTAGCCCCTACCTGTGCATGGATATGACATACATCACCTGCCTGCTAAAGGAGGGCTTTGGCTTCAAAGACAACACTGTCCTGCAGGTGAGCAAATAACCCGGCACATTGGATTTGGGAAATCTTAAAGTGATATTTTATCTGTGGTGGATTTCACTCAGCCCATGAATGATCCCTCCCCCCACCCTCCTGTAACTCTGCTCAACAGCTATCCAAGAAGGTGAACAACGTGGAGACCAGCTGGGCCCTGGGGGCGACCTTTGACTACTTCAGAAACCTCAACATCCACTAAGGACATGCGTGCTGTCACTGCAGCCAGGACTGAGGGGCTTCCCCGCCCGCGACCAGCCCGTCCCGCCTCTTCTCCTCCTCGACCTCAGCAGCCCCGTTGAAGAAATCACTATATTTTTATAAGGCCAGCTATTTCTACTGTATGTTGAGCTAGTAACTGGTTGCCTCACTTTATTTTTGTGAAACGTTTACATCTTTGACCCCCTCCTGGGCGTCTGATCTACACCTACCTGATGAGTGTGCACGGGGTAGTCCAGAGGCAATACCAGTCATGCTGTGCACTGTACAGCACATTTATTTAGAGACTTGGTTGCTGGAAGTGCAACCATAGTTGTTTTTCTAAATACTTTTAAAGGAATCCTTTCATTCTAGTCGTAGACAATCATGCATAACCCTAATTCTCTGATTTGCCCCTCAGCATCTTTAGATATAGAGCTGTAGACAATTCTACAGATTATTTTCTTCAACTTTGCACGAAACACTTTAATTGCAGATATTGTAGCTCAGACATGATCAGTTGCTTCGATGTTGACTTGTGTGTTTTGAATCACCATGACTGAAGGGCGGCAAGAACTCTGTCCAGATGCCTTTCACACACTGTTGTATAGCTGTTACATGTATGACGTTAATGCCTGTTTTAAAGTTGAGGCAATATTGTTTCTTTTATCTAGAATGGAACATATCTAATCAAGTGTGGCTAATTGCAGGTGTGCGAAGTCCGAACTCTGTTTTAGATTTTAAAAAATGCCTCTAATTATCATTTAAAGCCATTAAATGCAGCAAACATGTAAACCAAAATGATGTAAAAAGGTGAAGCCCAACTTATTTGTTGCTGGTGTCTCAAAACCATTTATAAAAGGGAGTTTAATTATTGTGAACTGTACAAATATTTAAAGATTTTTTTTATTGTAGAGCATTTGCATTGCTCTCTAATTCTTGTGTAACTGCTCTTTTGACCATCACTTATTTTCAGTATTCAACATGTTCAATAACTACTGGTGTATGTACAGAATGTAAACTTTCATTCATTCCATATTGTGACAGTAACGCCTTATACTGCTGCACAATTTCTCAAAAATGCTCATGTTCATCATGATGAATAACCGGATAGGCGACAATATGTAAATTGCTTTTATTAATGTCAGTGAAACTGAAAGTGTAGATTATACATGTATGGTTTAATTAAATATGGTATATGTATTCTGTATTTGTAATTTTTATAGCAACACAGACTTGTAATGAAATACTTCTAAAATCTAAAAATGTTTGTGCTTAAAATTATTTTTATCAGACTGGTCAAACATTGGACACTGTTTAAATAAGCTTCCAATGGAGAATGGGACGCTACACAATTCTCCACATCATTTCTGAGAAATGCACTTCATGGATAACTGGTCAGGAACAATAGTTAATGTACAACATACAGATAATGTGCTCGGGGAAGCTGCAGTTTAGGGTTGATTTGTGTTCATTTTGTACGAAAGCAAACAAAAAGAACCGACAACACAAGATTAAAATATATTATTTATTTTTTCTATACAGCCATCCAATCTCACACAGTTTTTAAAGATCCACCGGCACAACAAATGCATCACTTGCTTGCAAATCCCATGATCTGTTCCTGTAGAGGAAAAGAGACATAAATTCATCAACTGAAATTTGAATCACGCTTCCTGAAAGCCCGATACAAGTGCGTGGCACCGAAGACTTCGACACAAGACCTGTAAACTGGTGACCTCAGAACATTTAATATGGAAAAAATGTCACTTTTAACTTTTGTGCCTCCATCGTGAACGGCCTTTACAACCAGTCACAGGAGTGCTGGTTTGAATCACTTAGTAGGGAATAAAGTCATTTCACATCAGTGGTCGGTAATAAAAGGGGTGTGAAAACACAAGCCAACACCGCCGTCCTCTGCCCCAGGGCCAGCCCTGCACCCCACCCACACACACTTTTGGTAACACTAAATTTGGGGCTAAACTTAGATGCCATAGTAGTAGGTTCAGAACTCTGGAAATTACAGACACCGCCAAAGTAAAGCTCCGTGTAATCAGAAAAGAGCAGGGAGGGTAAGAGGAGGATGAGCTTGGGTTGGATAGGTGTTCAATATTATCGGAGAGTGATGGCCTGGTTCACTGGGATGTGCTCGGAGGTAGAGACTAGAAGGGAGCCAGCTTACTTTTAGCGCTGGGACCATGTTGGTGGCCTGCAGACCAAAGGTGCGTAAGAGAACAACAGGAGCGGCGTTGGTGGAGTAGAGGCGTTTCATGAGGTCGATGGCAGCCATCATGGGCAGGTTGTGTCGTTGGCGTTCAGTTTCATACTCCAGCAGGTGCTGCATTGCTCCTGCAGAAACGGAGATTCGGGTGTTAACCAGTTCAAGTGGTGCACTTCGGTCATGTGTTTCCTTCATTAAGTCAAGACATTGGTGCTATTTTCAAAACTTTTAACAGTGGAAAAAATAAAGACAGTATCTCAAAACAGAATTATATTTCTCATAAAAAGAAACGTACATATAGTCCTTGGCAGAATTAACTAAAGAAAAAACATGTAGCTTTTTATATTTCAGGCCGACAGCATGCGTTTGAGTTGGGGCTTTGGAAAAGAGTTTAGGGGAAACCGCTGGACTATGGTCGCAGGGCTCGTGTCTGTTTAGAGTTCTCACTGACCCAGATCCTTCCCGTCGAAGGCTGCCTGGCTCAGGATACGCGTCAGGCAAGCCACATCCCCAAAGCCCAGGTTGGCTCCCTGACCAGCCAGAGGATGGACACGATGGGCTGCATCTCTGCAAAGAAAAACAGCATGCTATTTTATGCACAGTGCACAGATAGAAGCGGTATGCGGGAGGGGGGGCGTGTTAAAAACATTTCAGTGCTACTGCGCAGGCTGCCATGACCATCTTACCCAATGAGAGCTACCCGGTGCCTGATGTACTCTGATGCATGCCCGATGCCCAGAGGAAACTTGACCCTGCTCTTTGGACCGATGCCTGCCACACTGGGGGGAAGCTGTCGAGGCGAACCTGCAGATGGCATGATGGCCGACAGGGTGCTGCGGAACAGGGAGCCAGCCGTCTCGATGAGCTCCGACTGGTTCTCGTTACTCCACTGTTGAGAAAACAGACAGGCAGACAAGAACACAGGGACATGTTCACAGGGAAGGAAATATGACCAGATGAGAGAGAAAGCAGACGTCATTCCTTTGAGTGGAGAAAGAAATTAGCTCACATAGGCCAACGAAAGGGCTCTTTTCCCCTCCCTGACTAACTGGTTTGGCAGGGCTTCAAGAGCTCGGCTGATTAAAAGAAGATGCCAGCCAGGCTGTGCTGTTGAGTTAGCCCCGTTTGAAAAACATTCCATGCAGTAATGGTCGACACTGAGAGACCACAGGTTTAATTAGCAAACCAGGCCCGAAAACCAAACGTGACTCAACCGTGGTGACCCCGTCCATCAGCGGGCCCAGCAAAAATAGGCAGCTTGGGAAAAGGAGTGTCTCCCAACACAAAAAAAAATGGGAGAGGTATGTCATCGTCATAGGGAAGTATTCAAACTGTTTAAAGTTTGGGCAAAACAATTACGGCATTGTTTGTATGGGTCATAAAACAGCTCAATGCTGAGTCTACGGGTATTCCGCCACATGTCGCACACAATACAGAACGGTGCAAAGTCTTGCCGTCGGAAATAAAATCCGAAGACAAATCAACACAGTTCAACGGTTAGACCGAGACTTACGAAGGCAGAGTTGATGGCGTCGACGAAGCTCTCCTCGTCCAGCTCCAGCAGCTCCTGTGCTTGCTGATGGCTGGTCGACCAAACCAGAGAGCTCTCGGTGTCCGACAGCTGCAGCGCACAGAGGATTGGTCGAGGAAGCGTTAGCAGATACTTCTGAGACTGACGGATACGTTCAAAGAATGAAATACTGCAGTAAATAATGTGGATGTATTACCGGTAACATTGCAATGGGCCCCGATGGGAGAAACCTCTGCCATGCGACATTGTTCTCTGTGGGCTGCCCAACGCATACATATGATTAAATTAAAATATTAAACTGAAGTATTGTGGCTTTGCAATGTTAATTATATCGCTTGCACATAAAAAGTTATTACAAAAGGTTTCTGCTGCATTGGGGGATTCTTGTCAGGTGGAACATGTGATGAAACGCTACCGATAATGCTCGCTTTGGGACAAACGTGAGATTCACCTCCGATAGGTGCAGCACGGCGACCACAGCAGATTGGTCATAATTCCACTTGACGGTTGGAATCCCCAATTCCTGCCGAACCATTGAGTTTGGTCCATCGGCACCAATCTGAAAAACATATGGAACAAATGGAAACGGTAGAAACCGGAACAAAAAGAGATGAATGTCTAGTTTGCGATGGAGCCAAACTGACCAACAGCTTGGTCTCAACACTCTCTCCGCTGGCCAACGTGACCTTGACCCATGGGATGGCGTTTGCTTGCTGGTGGGGCATGGGCCACGAGTACTTCACCACCTTGGACCTGTACTTTACCTGCACGTTATCTGACAAACAACAAGGACATAAAACGGGTGACTACAAAGGCAGCAGAGGGGGGGAAAAGCAGATTCAGGATGGTGTGACGAATGGGATCAATCCGGGTCCTTCGTATGAATGTGTCATCACACTAAATCAGCACTGTGCTCGTTTTCCAGCAAAACAAGAGGATTTTCTCCCTGCGGCCACAGCAGTGGAAGATCTATAAACCACTTCATAAAACACCATTGGTTTTCCTCCTTAGCACATTGTAGCTGCGAAAGTTTACATTTGACAACCAATAGGGTTTTATCTAAAAAAGGACGCCACGGATCCTGAGCTACGGCGACTCATGCAGACTTGGAGCGGCACCCGTCCGCAGCACATCTACTGCTTCCTGTTTGAGACAAAGTACAGGTTTCCTGGGGTTTTGAGAGCAGGGTTCCATTGAAACCAGCTGTGTTGAGCACACATTTCATGTACTCTGCGCTAAGCCGGTCAACACCACGGCTAAAATGAGAGGAGAGAAGCCGACAAATGGGCGGCACATGAAGCGAAGACGTGCCGCAACCACACAATCGCTGTTTGGTGCAAAATGTCGAAAACTGTTTATAAATATGCCACTTTAGCTGTCAAGCACATAGCAGGGCTGACTTTTATTTGCAAATCTTACCAAAGTTGACCTAATGTCAACAGAAAGACAGCGCGACAAAATATCAGCGCTTTGGTGTCTGAAGACAGAGGGTACCGGGCCCTGCAGTGCCAAAAAAATGGGAGGTTTCAAATGAAATTTGCAAGAAAAACAGGAGCGGCTCCAAGGGCTGAACATGTCTTTAAAAACCTGGAGGGGGTACAAATAAACAAAACCTGGGGACAGGATGGCATAAATGTGGCAGCTTCCATCGCGCAGATGGAACATGAATCAAGGGGTCTCACGGAGCACTGCTGCTCACTGCGGGGGGCTTCACGTTTCAATCGTAAACGCTGCGCTTACCGGACAGGTCGTCCAGCTGTTTAGTGAGTGCAGCCACAACGACGTCGTTCTCCACGATGTGTGCCATCTCGTCCTGCATGTCCTCCTTGTCGAAGGTGATCAGGACATCGGAGCAGGCATCCCAAACCTAAATGGGAGATTGATTGTGACTGCGGTATACAGGTTTTATGCATATCCCCTCTCCCTAAATATAGCCGGGCCGAGAAGTGGCGCTTCGTTGAGCCGAACACGTCGAGAGCTCTCTGAGGGGGGAGGAGCAAATGACACTTTGTGATGTGGATTTTTGCAAACATTCTCGTGGAAATGCATAAAACAAATGACATAATTGTGAAGAGTGAGTCAATATTTATCCGCAACCAACAGCAATGGAATGAGATATAGCTTTGGGTTACCGTAATTCCAACCTGGAATTACTATTGGAGTTAAACGTGAGGGGGTGAAAAGTGTTTGTACAAGGTTAATCCTCTCCTGGCTTGTATCTATGGTGACCAAACCCATCATTCTGCAAAAACCTGCTGCTGAGCTTCTCGTTTTCCAACTTGCCATAAAGTAGGGGGGTATACCCGACAGAAAACCACTAATGGCAGTGGGTTTGCAGCTTGTGATAAGTGGTTGGGAAGTAAGATATACAGAGATCAGCACCCCCCCCCCCCCAAAAAAAATTGGTTTTGTTTTATGCAGGGCGAAATGATGCAGTGTTGGGGTAGAATCTGTTACTACATACTCTAGGATTTAAATAATACACTTCCTCAAAACTTTATAGGGAAAAATCTAAGCAAAATGACACCTGGGTTGCCTTCTCATTTAAATCCAAACCCTGCAAGAGCATTTTACTACATGGAAAGAATGTTATTTAGGGTTGACCTGCAGTACATACTTTTCAGCGCAATTGGGGAAATGCATGAGCATGGCCAAACAAGCCAAGGCGGTGGTAGCAGAGTCAAGGTATAATGGGAGAGGTACACTACCATAATCACTGTAAGGCACTGCAGGATGACATCGGAGGGCCAGAGAGAAACCCTGCGGTTGGGTGCTCGGTACACAGCGACCACATCTTACAAGAGGGACTGAGCCCGCACCCACAGCCGTAAAGCGGGCTCCCTCTGCAGCAAACCACCAACCTCTGAATCTTTCATCTTCTTACCGTTGTTCGCTTGAATCTTCGTAATTATAAGATGTGGGGAATGAGTACTAATTTGAAAACGTCAAAATGATTTACTCTTCATTGAAAAAAAGGGCTTTAGTAAGTAAAGCTTGCAATGGCCAAAGAGCCATCCAGTATATCCACAGTATATACTACACGATGGCTTTTTTAATATAGATCTTATAGTCTTGGTATTTTTAGTGGCACAGATCTGGCAAAGCTGCTGAAAACGTATAAATTGCACTAAGGAATGAACAAAATGCAGTATTACATTCAACAATGTCAGCTATTTCACGTGAACAATTGCATCTCATAAACATGATTATAAGATACAACACTGGGTTGATTGTTGACTAAACTGAATCTTGAGTACAAGTTAAGTGTCACAGACTTTTTAAATTGCATGAATCCGTCACTGTGATTGATGGGTAAAAGAAATGCATGTAGTTAGCCTGTAAATTAGAAAAGTCTGGAGGACCTATGAATAAAACAGTTGTGTAACCAAAGGACCACTGTAGTATGCAGTTGTTACTTTTGTTTGTCTTAAATTATACTTTTCTGAACATTTGACATTGCACTGTCGGGGCAATTAATCTACCTTTTGGTTGCACATTTTAAATGAGAATTGAATTTAAGTGAGCTCAAGATTAACATACCTGCATCCTTTTATAGGGCTTGCACCTCATCTTTGTGATGTGCTCCCATGCGCCAACACCTGTGTGTGCACAAATACATTTCAAAACAATTACAATACAAATTTAAAGCAATCCTGCATGTAATTGAACTCAAAATGCAAACAAGGTGAACAACACTTGAATAATTGCTTTACACACACTTTTTTTTTTAACTTTCATATGATTTGTGTCAGGCGCACAAGCGTAAACCCGGCAGATGGCAAATTTAGGGCATAGAATGCGTTTCACAGGCCATTCCATCGGGCTTGGCTCCATTTCCAGGGAAGAAAGGTCAGATATGGCACCTGCCAGGCCCTGGTGACTGTGCCCAATCAACACTATGGGAGCCTTTATCCGTGGAGCACCAGAAGCTTCTCACAGGACTGGAGCCAATCGATTTTTAGATCTATTTTTTGTCTGTTGTGGCCCTGTCGTATTCAATGTACATTAGACCTTTAGCAAGAACACAACCCGCCACAGGTTACGTTTTACAGTGTTTAGTATGTCAGGATGAATACTGTACCAGTGAGGAGGGTGGCAGAGCCTGGACTGATGGAGCTCACTCTGGTGCTGTAGGTGTCTGGGACTTTGTGCATTACTTTCTTGTTCCCCGCTTCAAGCAGAAGAATCTTCTTACCCTCCAAGTTGCGATCCATGCCTTTTTAAAAAAAACAAAACAGGAAAATTGTAAGTACCAATGCTATTTTAAACAGTGTTGCTGCAGAAAAAGTTAAAATCTGGCAAAAGGTGACTACACGTGTTTCCCAATGTCAACACATCCTGGAGTTTCTATCTTAGTAACTAAATGTTGTAGGGTAATAATCCCACATTTCTATGGGTTTCTCTAAAGACTCACAGCTCCCCTGTCATCCCCGATAACACTTTTTTTGTATTTATTTAAATGTGTGGTTAGCTGATTACACGCTCCAAAATGTAAAGGGCGGCGACGACGTCACTCACCCAGGGAACACGCCATTGCAGATCCGACCATTCCTCCCCCGGATATAATGATATCATAAACTTCATTCTTGCCCAAGTCGTCCACGTGCTGCGCGCACACGAATCCTCGGCTGTGGATTTGTAAAGCAGAAACATGCTTGTCTGCCACCAGACAGCGGCCGAGTCCGTTAAAGGCCAGCGTCGCCCTTGTGAGCTTGTGCATGATTTCAGTCCTCCGTGCTCACAAGAGACGAGTGGCGGATTAAACAGGATGAACCGCTACAACTTTGAGGTCTGTACACTTTCGTGCGTGTTATCAGACGGACGATCCCCCCCTCCCTGTGCGCGTGTCGTAATTACTGCAGCTGTGCCATTTTTTGGTGTAATCCCGGACCGTTTTGGTTTGTGTTGACAAGCGCTCCGAGAGGAAATACTTCCGGGTTTCTTGTCCAATCACAAAAGAGGACCGTCACGGCCGACCGTTGCTGCTTCTGTCCACGAGCAGTGCTAACGCTACGCTAACCGAGACGCGGGGGGAGTGTAAGTAAAACACGCTGGCTTCGGTTTAAGTGCAGTACTGTACACTACTCTTGTGCACTTTATTTCAACGGAAAGCATCAGTTTATTGAATAAGCCGTAATGCGTTTTGTCGGACGTAGGAGTTTAGCGACCTTACGTTCTGTTTGGAAATGACGTCAAAACTCATAATGGCTGCTCGGTGTTACTTTTATCGTTTAATCGTTTTTGCTTTTCATTTGAAAACAATCGATAAGTTTGTAGTTATATAAATTATTATATATAGCTAAGTAAATGGATAGCTTCGCTACAGCTAAATACATGCCACTAAATCAATATAGCACGACTAACCCTATGTTGAGAGCTGAGAGGTCCGGTTACCATGGAAACCCTTTTACGCTGTGTTTGTATTGCTTTTGTTGGCAGGATTTAAAATGCATTGATTGGCGATTTCAATTAATGTATTATTCATTTACTTCCTCAATAATTTAAAATAGCAATGATAATTGTTTAATATGGCCATCACCGTTTCCCAGAGCTCAAGTGGACGTGAATCAACCTGCAGCTGCAACTAACAATCATTATAGATTAATTAACTGCTTGTCACTTTTCTTTCAATAAACAATTGATGAGTTAGTTCACAAACTGTAATAAATTAGTGAAAATGTTCATGAGCCCACAGTGACTTATTTAAACCCACTGAGATTACACTTTTGATGAAATAACATTATTATCTCAATTTGAAAAGCTGCATCATGCGTCTTTTGATAATAATCTATGAGCTATTTTAGATGTTGGTCGGCTGTTCAATTTAAGGAAATGCATAGAGAACAAATAATTGGATGATGTGAACTTTTGAAATGGTTGTTTATGTTGATTTTTCTGTCATTGTGTGTGTTTGATGTGTGTTCATATTGAAACTATTTTCAGAACATATAAGCATTTTATCGCTGACTAAAAACAAAACAACCATTTGTTTACAGGTAAAGACAACATTTCCCCGCTTCTGTTTGCATCAGAGGAATATGCCAAAGCTGGAGACCTTGGAAACTGATGGACTCAGATCAGAATTAATGCTTCAGCAGCATCTGAAGGCCCTGAGTTTGGCCCTCAGGCAGCAGCTGCAGGAGACCGAAATGAGACAGAAAGAGGAGCTGGATAGAAGGATCCATCAGGACTCTCTGCTGTCGACTGAGTCCAGTGATCAAAACAAAACAAAACATCAGGCCAAGTAGGTTTTTCCTTACGTCGTTAATGTTTGGTCATACTTACAACATATCAACTTTCCTAAATACCTTTACTGTTGTTTAAGACATGTAGCAATGAGGAGAGCCACCTCTGCATCTGCCCTGACGTCAGACGAAAAGACGTTGCAGCATCCGAGACCCAAAGTGTCTTCAGCCCCGATGTCTCCAAAGTGGATCAATTGTTCAGTCAAAGTTTCCACCCTTCCTCCGGCCAGGACTCAACAATGTGAACGCTTTGATTCAACCAAGACAACACAGATGAGCAAAGAGGAGGAGGCTGAGACCGAGTGTCAGAGGAAGTTCCGCGCTCATCCGGTGCCCGGCCATGTCAGTCAGATCCTGTATCGAGAGATGATGGAGCTGAAAGAGAAGGAGAGGAACCGGTGTCATGAGCAGAGAAGGGATTTCTTGCTTTCTATTCAAAGACCTTTCAGTTTCCAGGAGAGAGAAAAGGAGAAGAGGGAGAGGCTGACAACAGTGTTAAACCAAGTCAAGCACAAAAAAACGCCTGCTTCCATTATGAAGCCTCCTAAAAAAGAGGTTAAAGACTTGTCAGATTGTGAGGTAAAAGGTGGGTTTTTTTCTGTTGGAATGATGTTGGCAAATGTTTGATATGATAGTTGGAATTGATGTGACAATAACTGTAACGTAACTGCCACTTCACAAACTGTTTGTTTGTGAGCATTTCACCCAAAGAGTGATTATTTCCCTCTTGGATTGTTCCACCTTTAAAGTTTTCAAATGCCTGAAAAGTGTCACAAAATCTGGAGGCCACACATGATTTTTAAAAGTAACATTTTCTGAAGCTGAATTAGGTAAAGCAGTCAGTTCATGAGTGATGCGTGAACATGTCAGGTGTAAGAACACAAAGATGAACCGGGCCCTTGTAGGGGTCCTGGGACATTGGGTATCACTGGTTGTCACTCAGTCAGTATTTTTTAATCATAGCAACAGTCAGCTTTAATGATGGAACCAATACATTTTTGACCAATTTTGGGTTCTCTGGGGGCCTATACACAAACAAAAGCAGTGCTCTGGTGTTCTAGAAAAAAGTGTAATGAAATTTATTAACTTGAGTCACAGCGTGACATGACTAATCTTTCACATCACCTTATTGTATTTTTGTCCAGACGTGGAGCTTCGAAAGGGAGTCCCCGCTCAGACAGGAGTGGCACACGAGAAACCGACTACGTCCGGCTGCCCGAAACTTCGCACTTCTGAGCGCACCAGGAGAGAAAAGTTGGGCTTCCTGGACGAGAGGCCCAGCTTCAAGCCCCAAATCATCCAGCAGGTTCCTGATTTCAGTAGGCTGCACAAAGCCCTGCAGACAGAAGGGCTGAGGAAATCCCAGAGTAAAGATGTGATCAAATGTCAGCCCTTCAATCTGAGGACATCGGCTCTCCCTGCCAGGCGAAGTAGGACGAGCGCTGAAAGCTCACAGGTCAAACCCTTGCTTACTATAGGGGCATGTAAAAATAGTTTCACTAGTTTTATTTCCTTAGTTGCTTTAATGCATCTATTTATTATTTATTTGGTTTTAGTTAAGTGCAATGATTTCATTTGTTTTCACTTCAAAACCTTTCTCCTTTCAGCAGTTGTATTTACGACATTCAAAACCCATCATGTATGAAGTTAAACTCACTATTTTTCCATCTTACAAGAACATCTCTATATATATGTTCACATAATGTTTGTTGGTTGGATGATTCACGCAACGGCATTACAGAGTAACAATAATTCTAACAGCTATTAAATATAAATTTCAGTCTCTTTCACGTCACCTATTTATAAGCCTCACTGCACAGATTGACCACTGCAATTGACAAATCTATATAAAGGCCTCCATAACTAAATGTTTACTATTCTCCCCATCATTTTTAAGGTTCCAGAAATAAGCAAACTCAACAGAAGCAAGTCACTTGGGGCCTTAACGTCGCTGTCGGCAGACACACTCCCCACATACATCACCGATGCAACGAGGCAGCGCAGCGCGGCCATCCGGTGACTTTAGAACAACAGACAGTGGATTTTTCTCCCCCCTTTATTGTTTCTACCTAATAAATAGTTCAACTCTCTGACATACAAAACACTTTGAGCCTTCACAGAAAGTCAATGGAGATGAGGGACGGCCAGAACCAAGCGGGCGCCGATTGGCTGAGGAGGTACCAGATGAGATCCCAGGCCATGAAGAAGGCGGTCACGCTCCATGCGAGGTTGCTTGACCCACACAGCAGCTTGAAAGCCGTGTTCAACGACAAACTACAGCACCATCGGTGAGTAGCTCCGGGCCGCTCAGGCGCCGAAAACGCAAACCGACTGGCATCACGACAACCTGAAACTGTAATCTTCTCCTGAATGGAGGGAGGCCGACCAACACCGAATGAGAGAGTACACGAGGGAGTTACGGGACATGAAGGCGCGAGTGGCCGAGCGCCCTTTTTTGTTCGAACAGGTGAAGCAGGTGAGTGACTCGGTGAGAGAAGATTACGTCACGCTGTCCTCAACGTGCCCCTCCGGCATAACTTTGACTTTTACTAAACGGCAGAAAAATGCAAAGGCTCAAGCAGAGCAGACATACAGGAACAGGCTGAAGATAGCCGGCGTGAAGGAGCAGTTTGTTGAAGAACACGGAGAAGCAGTCGAAGGGTCATCATCGTCGTTCAGCTCTGAGGAGGATACAGACAAGAACCACAAGGCTGAGGATCACATTCGCAGCAGGTATGTAGAGTGAGAAATTAAAGCGAGTTTTGTTCATCCTCTAAGAATTATGAATAGAACCGGTGCTGGAGAGCCAAGGACTTCTTGTGGTTTGGTCATACTACATTACATGATTTTCTGAGCCTTCCCGGCAGTCGAAGAAAGATAAATACCGTAGCCAAGTAAAAGTTGAATGTAATTACAATATAGCCATTTCCTAACCCAACATGTCTTGATTTAGGGGGGGAAATGTAGACAACGGGGAGAAAATTGAAGATGTGGAAGAGAAGAGCGTGAAGACCAAAGGGGAAGAAATGCCATGATGAAAACGGTTTGGGCGGTAGAGAGTTTTTTATGGCCTCTCCGCTAGAAAACAACACTGTCCTCCAAAATTATTCATGTCACGGGCTGAATATTCCCACCAGACATTTGATAGCTCAAGATGTGCAACTGCAAATTATGAGATGACCAAACATCTGGACTTCACAATCTTTACAAACAACATGGCTTTATAAGTAATTAATGTTTCATATGATTTGAATATATTTGTATCTTTTGCTCAGGAATATAAACACTGTAATTTAGAGGATGATTTACACTTCAAATTAATTAGGGTTTTACCAACTCTCCCAAAAGGCATTCAAAAATACAAATGAATGTCTACACTTCAACAGGGAGACCTGTATGTTTTTTTTTAGCTCTGTTTAAACAATCTCATAAATGTGTGTATATATATATATATATATATATATATTTGAAAAGGGCCAGGTCCCGTAAGGACGCCCGGCGTCTGACATGTGCCTTTCTCAGATGCTTGGGTTGAAGTTCCCAGTCATTTCGACAGCCACACTGCCCCCGTAAATAAACAGCTTGGCTGTGCAGAATGCATTCACAGAGACCACATCAAATACCCTGCGACACTGGCCTCCCCTGTGAGCTTAGACAACTGCAACCGTCTTTTACTATCAGACCACATGGGAGAGTCTGTATACGTTTATAATCACGCAGTCATGGAGACAAGTACATACCACCACACGGTTGCTGTTTTTGGGCCACTGCGCTATACGTTGATGACATAGAGGGCAATGTTTACATGAGTTGAGAAACGCATCATATAATTAAGTGTAGACGGTGACACGATTGAAGGCGCAGTTTTGAAATCTAGTTAAAAAGAGACTTATATGTTACATCAAATTACAGTACAATTTGCTGCTGCCAGACGGATGTGCATATAGGTTAGAACAGAGAAAATGTCACTGCTACAATGTCTGCCATCACTGTATTCAAAACAAGAGTGACTCATTTTGCACGATTAAAAATGTTCCCGTATGGTTATTAAAGATGCATCAAGAGTCCCTTCCTGAGATCTCAAACATCACAAGTTGAAGCTTCAAGGGATCCATCTTGGCAGGTTGTCATGGGAACAGTTTATCCCTCCGGTCTCTGCCTTGTAGTCCCTCAGGAGACCTCTAAGAATTCCCCGGTGCAGGGTCTGAAAAAAAGGCGATGCTCTCCCAACCCTTTAGACAACATCGGAGTGAGATTGACACTTATTGAAACAAGCTGCGGTCCGATGTTTGTGGAAGCTGACAGAGGAAACAAACGCATTGTATTAATCTAAAGAAGAGGTTGACCATTTCTCCAGCAAATGTTCCGATCACAGTTAGAGGAGTGGCTCTACTTAGCAGATGGGCAGTGTAATTCATCTGAGGTGGTGCGTTCGGGTCGTTTTTTTACTCCAGCCGCTGTGAGATGTCAAGATTCCCACACATTTGAAATTCTGTGAGTGCACGTGTAGACAGCCGGAGACTAGAACAGATGATGTAGGCCTCAAATGAACCCCGCTGTCACAATGACAGCCAATTCCTAACTCCCCATTTCCCTTGTCTGCTTTCTCCCCTGACATTTACTTACTGACATTTACCTACTGTCTTGACATTTCACATCCTGCTACTCCTCCTGCACAGCTGTAACGTCTGTGTTCCCGCCGTTCCCCATCACCTAAACTCCTGTCGCCCACCTCCACACCTGTTACCGCTACCTCCTCTGCTCAGTAGTTCATATACCGGCCCTTTGGGCTCATGTTCTCTAACCTGATCCCCTGTTAGATAGGTTTCCCTCATCTGCCGTGCCTCCCTTATTTGAACTTTTGCTTGTTTTTGAACCTGGGTAAACATCAACAATTGGACCGTGAGATACCTCTGTTGCCATCTCTTTTTTCTGTCATTAAGCCTTATTCTTGTTGTGTATTTGAATTCCCGTGATTCTAAAGGGCACCGGTCAAATATGTTGTCGAGCGCCGTGCATGTCGCGCGTGTGGTGTCGTGTGCATTTTATATTCTCTGCCTGTTTTTAGTCCTCGGTTCACCTGCAGGAGGAGCTGTGGCTCGCCGCAGCCTCTCTGGAGCAGAAGAGAGAGATCCCTCTTTTTCTCCTTCAGTGGCATGACAAATATCCCCGATGCTGGAGAGAGCGAGAGAGCGAGAGAATATCAGGAGGCAACCGAGAAGGGGAGGGAGAGAGCGAGGTAGCAGCCAGTGTGACCGATCAGAGCGTGGCAGAACTTGTCTCCTCGACTGCGCCGGGGGGAAAGAGACAGCAGGTGCACCAGAGTGTCCGGCAAGGCTGCTGCCTGCGCAAACACACACACACACACACACACACAAGTACATGTACACACTGACAGACAGACAGAAAGACCCCTCTGTCCGCCTGCACCAGAAGAAGTTAAGAGAGAAGACTAACCTTAAGAAGGTACAGTATTTTCGTGTATCTATAGTTTTGGAGTTGTGTCCCCCTGCTTTGCATTGGAAACATTACCAAGAATTCTGCTGCACTCACTTGACGCTCCTCTTTTCATTTTCCAGGTGGGTTGGCGGACGTTGGGTCTGCGGATTAACTTCAATATTCTGGCTTGCCTTAAACTGCGCCCGCTCGTCCTGTAGAGGAGTTTGTGTGTTTCCCCTCTAGAGGAACTTGCCGCGTGTTTACAGCCCGAGGGAGGATGGAGAAGCTGTCGGGAAAAGACAAGGAGCTGATACGAGGCAGCTGGGAGAGCCTCGGCAAGAACAAAATTCCTCATGGTGTCGTCATGTTTTCCAGGTAATGTATTCCACAAATCGGCATGATTTGAAGTGTCACGGTAGAGAAGAGAATATGTTTATTCTGTGCGAGCATCCTTTCATCAACATTCATTCAAATTCTTAATTATTAATATTATCTTGTTGTTTCCTGTGTCGATTTTCTAGTATACGGTCTTGAGATGCTTTTGAAGTGCCATTCTTATATGTGTGTGTGTGTGTGTGTGTGTGTACAAAGGGGGAAAAACGGAAAATGCAGGATTTGTACGTACAACCTGTTTGTTATACTGCAAATATATAAATATTGATATATTTTCAGCGGTGGGAAAATCTCAGTTGTGGTACCCACTTTGGCGATAAATCAGTATGTTCGTTTACGATTGCCACTTTGTAAACTATGTAGCCGAGAGCACGCACATGTGAGTATGTAACACTGGTGTGGAGAGAGAATCGAAAGAGAGGAGCGAAAGCTTGACTTGTTGCTTGGCGACAGACTGCAATAATCTAAAAAATTTACTACGTGACAGCTGCAGCGAAATAGACTAAAAAGAGCATAGATGCATGATACATTAATTGATTTTGGTGTCCGTGTGAATGTTTGGCAGCCCCTGCTGCGTGCGTGCACCTTTAGAATAGTTTGGTATTTGTCTGGCAGGCTGTTTGAGCTGGACCCGACGCTCCTCACTCTGTTCCACTACACTACCAGCTGCGGCTCCACACAGGACTGCCTCGCCAGCCCCGAGTTCCTGGATCACGTCACCAAGGTGAGCTAAGCTGGCCACGCTCCCCGCTGCGAGTGTGTACCGGCAGCTACGGTGCACAGTTGACAACACCCCTCTGTGTGTGTGTGTGTGTGTGTGTGTGTGTGTGTGTGTATTTGCATGTATTTGTGCGCGTCGTCCCAGGTGATGCTTGTGATCGATGCAGCGGTCAGCAACCTGGACGACCTCCTCTCCTTGGAGGACTTTCTGCTCAACCTCGGGAGGAAGCATCAGGCTGTGGGAGTCCACACGCAGTCTTTTGCTGTAGGTATTTGATCACAACCCTCAAAAAGTCATTTCGCAAGTGAACGAGCTGTGAGTGAGTTTTTTTTTCTCGTGTTTGTCAGCTGGTGGGTGAATCCCTTCTCTACATGCTGCAGTGCAGTCTGGGCCCGGCCTACACGGCGCCGCTGCGCCAAGCCTGGCTCAACATGTACAGCGTCGTGGTAGCAGCCATGAGCCGAGGCTGGGCCGAGAACGGGGAGGACAAGGCCGACTGAGGCGCCGCAGCGGTGCCCGCTGAGCTGTCAAATCAATCAACGTGGTTGCCATGGAATAAGGTTGTGTAACTTGCTGCATTGTGGCTTCGGTCCGCTGTACATTTGCTCTTTGAATGAGGTCGCGTAGCGAAGCGGAGGTCCGGTGTGGTTACACTTTACAGTCTGATCAATCGATCAATCAATCGTTCAATCGCAGAGTTTTATTTTCCTTTGCTGCGGACGTTTAGCTACCTGGCGAGTACAGCTGTTCTGGGCCAGCCGGCTTTTGCTTCTTCTAAGTGCAGAAAGCCAAATCTGTGCGCCTCACTCTGAGGGGAAAAAAGCAAACGAGGATAACGGTTGAGTCTCTTTGTATATAATGGCATTGATATATCTACTCAAATAACACAGTGGTCTTTGATGTATCTTTAAAAGAGTCGCACAATTGTGAAACACTAGATATCCTATTTAGGCATCAACTACTCAAACTGTGACGGTTACTGTGGCCGACGTGGCAGCTCTCTATCTAACTGGAACACAGTGATACTGTACACGACATGTTCAACGTTTTGTGACAAAGCAATGTGATTATACGGAAGAAAGTCCTTTCACCTTAATCCTAATCACACCGTGTTTTTTTATCGATATTACATTACACCCACACGTGTGTGTGTGTGTGTGTGTGACACTTTGTTGCCCAACATTTGTATTTTCAATAGATACTGACAGAACTGTTACAATCTCTGATCGGTCTCCTCAGCGATCTACGACTGTTAAGGCGTCAAAGTGCACCTTACTCAAAATGGTGTGTGTCGCTCTCCTCGGTAGAGGTTGTGATTGTTTCAATGGGCTCCAGCCGACTGTTAAACTCTAGCTCATAGACTGTTAACTCTTTACTCTGCAGCAAAGGGCCCCTTTGTAACGTCTTTTGTTCCTCGGCTATCGGTTCCTAGTCTTTGTTAGTGTACGGTAGTTTTTCTTGTGCTGTGATCGCTTATCTTAGTTGTGCTTATTAACAGTATTTTAAATGAAGCGTTACCTCAGCTGTAGGAGTGAAGGTGAGCGGAGCGGCTCGTGTTTTTCCAACACATGGAAGTGGAGCCGCACGTGAATATTTATTTGTGGATTATGACATAAGGACAAACTGGATTGATGAAGATTGTTTCATTTTAATTCGCTCAACACAGAAAATAATTCTACAGATACTTTATGCTGTCGCTGTCCAATATGTGTGTTATTCTTATTATTGCTGACATAACACTGTATGTATCATCCTCAGCTGTTGTCGACATTCATGGTCATAACGCCAAGTAACTTAGCAACAGTTGCCAAGTATTAGATAATAACACCATACAACTGTAAATCCAAGCTGCTGATGTTTGGTTATTATCGCTTTAGTCCAAGTTTACATGTACAAAGTTTATTTTTATATCCTGAAATGTGTGTTGTTTGAGAACATTGTTTTTTTGTTTTTTTTCCAAACATGACATAGTTATATCCTCCAGATATATTACCTTGTGTGGGTTTTACTTAATCAAAATAATATATACAGTTGAGGGGATATATATATATATATCCTCAACTTCTAAATCTAAATGTCCTTACTTCTTAAAAGTCCTTACAGAAAATGAATATGAACTGATTGTGGTGTATTTATAGTGGTTCTTGTCTTAGTGTCAGTACACAGCCCTCTGCAGGTTGTTCTTCACATCTTTGTTTTGGGTTATCTGACATTAAGTCGTTTTAGCTGGCGTGACTGATAACCGCTACGTTACCCTGTTAACATCCAGCTGTGTACAGATTGGGTGTGTCACTGTCTACCTCATCAGCTGCTATTGAACAGTGATGACTTCACCTAGTTATCCTTCAACCAAAAACGCACAATATTACTATTAACTTAATGCAAGAACGCACTCTTTGTAAACTGGATTCCATCCTAAACAAAACATGTTGTGTGCGTATTTGAGACTAAATAAAGTGATCTGTGGATATTTTACTGCTGAACAGCGTCAGTGTGTTTTCGTCCTGCTCTGATTGTTTAAAAAAAAAAAAAAAGACAGTCAGCGCTTGAAATCAATCATACGTTGCCTGATTCCCTTCCCACTGACAGCCCGTCTCCTCGTGTTACATAAGATCCAAGCGTCGACTGGCTCATCGCCCTTGGCTACAGAGACGAGCCCACTTACTCATGCAACCGCACGATGTCACATCAAGATTGTTTACAGAATTCCTAATCACTGCGATCTGACCCGATTTCTTTTCGCCTTCCTCGTTCGGTAAAATCCTTTACCCATGTTTGCGCTTGTTCCTGCTTGAATATGCATATTTGTGTGTAGTAATGAGTTTTCATTTCCTGTGTGTGTGTGTGTGTGTATACAATTCACTGCATCATTGTAGAAGGCACATCCGTGAGCTGGCTGTCTGTTGGAGGATAAAGGAACAGTGGCTGACATGTCCTTAATCTGTCTCTTTGCACAGTGTCCTCGCTCTCTCTGTCAAACTGAGAGTCTGCTGTGTTCACGTTGGGCTCCACGTCTCACTCCAGCATAGAGAACAACCCGGACGTGTCTCGACACTGGGCTGTGCGGAGGCAGTCCTGACCTCCAATTCAGGCCACCAGATAACAGTCGGGTTGCGGCGCTAAGCGTTTATTTACCTTGTAGTAAATGTATTGATCAGTAGCTGTAGTTCAAACAGGCTTACCTCGTGCCGGACGGGGATTTGCTCTGAGGGCTGCCGGCGTCTGGTGAGGAGTTTTGCGAGAAAAGGCAACGCACATTATTTTTAGAAAGTCTGCAACGCGTTTTAGAGTGAAGGGGTAGTGAACGTTGTCATGGCAACTGTTAGGGGATGGTGGTCCAGAGTTGTAATTGTGTGTGTGTGAGAAATTCTTTTTTGTTTCGCATGAAGGAGGAAAGCAGGACACTGTAAGGTTCAACCACTCACTCGTCCTAAATCCCAGCGTGGAGAAGGATGACGAGCGGACGGTGCGGGAAGCCTCATGATGTTCGATGCGATCGCTCACTGGAGTCTGCAGCACGAGCCAGCCACGCAACAGGGAGAATAAGCAGTCGCTTCCCAATGGAAGTACAACCAGTTAGAGAATGCATGTCCATCAAAATCCAACGAAAAGACACACAGTCTTTAAAAAGCAATTGGCTTGTTTAGTTTCATTACGTTATATATGGAACTATTGCTCTGTTAACATGCTACTTTTGCTACGGGGGCAATGGAGACATTATGTAAATGTCCCGCAATTCCTGGTGTGCTGCAACAGATTGAAAGTCACTAAACTACTAAACAGATTGTTTACAAGGTCGTGGATTAATTTGCTATCTCATATTTTATGCCAACATGGACGAAAAGTTTGTGAGAAATCCATCTGCTGAGGAGTGTGAGGCGTGACCAGAAGCTCCGAGATGTACTCAGGGGGGATTAAAAGTTCAAAAATTGCTACTTTGACCCAGAATCGTATGTAAATACTAAACGACACATATTTATTAAGCAACATTTGCATGCTGAAACGTACCGTGTGGAAGGGACAATATGTTCGCTGCAGGAGGCACAGAGACATTTTCTATTCTGAGCATCTGGGCAGCAGTAGACGAGCGACGGGGCACCCAGAGGAATTAACCTTTCGCTGAGGAGCACGCTGTTGCCACGGGTGACCGGGGAAATGTGTCTTTCGGACTTTTCTCTCTCTCGTAACTCGCAGCAACGAAGAAGCGGGGCATATCGTGGCAGCCGTGTAATGCTGTTTTCTTTTCAAACCCCTCGCTGAGGAAAAACGACTGAAACGAACCATTCCGGCAGGATGGGACTTACTAAAGCCCCGCTTTGCTGGGGACAGCATCTGCTTTCCTGCTGATGGTGGTTTGGATCAAAGCAGATGCTCGTGCGACGGATCGCCACATCCACCCTGAGATGTGCTTTCAGGGATCGACCTTCAGCGTGGTGTGTAGCGAGGCTAGTTTGTATGCAGGTGCACTGCTGCAAACACTAAGCTAACACGCACTGAATTCATCAGCAACCTCTCCCCACCAGCACTGTGAAATGAGGAGGTCGTCATTCATCATTGACCACAGAGGAGGAGAGCAACACGGAGTTCATGGCACAAGATGAGTGGATTGAGCTGAATTAACTTTAATTTCAGATCACAGCACTTCACTTTTGACAGATGAAAACTTGATGACAAAACGGGCCCGAAAAAGATCAACCTCAAATGCAGTCTTTCCTTTAATCTCGACCTTCATGTAGATACAACAACCCACATTTTACAGCAGCCTCACACACTGTATGAAATAAAGCACTTATGATGCACAAGACATGTCTGGAAATCGAATGAACCTCCGAGTGACCGGATACAATTAAACTAGAAAATGGACAATATCTCCTTGCATGGACATTAGAGCGAAGAATAGCAAAAAAAACAATTTCATTTGGTAGTTTTCAAAGGGGGGGGGGGGGGGGGGGAGTACATTTAATGATGTTTCGAACCCGCAGGGTACGGTGGTACTTCACATGGAGACTTTTAGAGATGCTCTTTGATTTTTCCTCATAATTCTCTTTAATGACCACTCTGGCTCTGCTGCCAGCTTTCCTCTCTTTTACACAGCATGATGGATTCCATGTAAAACGTAGCAAATAGATTTAGTGTTATGCCACGAATAAATACACAGCCTCTAATTTTGCTCACTGTCAATCTAACGTGTTCAAATGAGACAGAAACGCCACACGCCTTTGAAAGATTGTATCCTCGGCAGAAAGTTCTCTCATACGTCTTATATGAGTTCAACAACAATGATTGAAATCCACAAAGGCACCAACGAGGACGTAATACCAAACATCGTAAAGAAGTGACGGAACCGGTGTGAAGTAAACAAACGGTGAGATTGCTTAGTTTGGAGCTTGACTGTTAATCGCTTTTAAATGATTCCGTACTTGGTTTAGAGCTTTTAATCAAACCACATAGTGTTTATCAGCAGACGAATTCTGCTCAACGGTTGAACAGCTTCAGAAAAAGCAAGTGGTTGACCAGGACTTTATCAGGACATCGAAACTAATCCGCAGTTGAAGACCATGAAGCTGCAGAGAAAGGCAGCAGGAGGACCTTGTTTGAAGAGTGAGCCTACTGCGTATCTGAGGACTAACATCCCGTTAGCTCTTCAACACGGCGGGTTGTTTGTTTGTTGTTGTGTTTTCATCTCTTAGATGTTTCTCCGCCCTTTAGTTTTCAGTTCATGCAGCATATTTCAGGCCATGCTGGATTGTCACACGAAAGAGGGTGTTTGTTTCAAGGCACAGCAAAGAGACACGAATAACTAACTATAATCAGTGTCTATTCAGGAGAAGTTCACCCCTCCACAAGAAGGAAGAGTTGGAAACACACGCAGGCCGACAATGAGATCAACGCATGTGAAACTCGACCCTCTGGTTCAGAAAAGGAGTCCGTACCTCATTTATACATGTTACTTTGTCAACATGCATGCAAAAATGTAAAAATTGAAAGAATTAATTCATTCCTCTGCAGAGGATTAATATTCTCACTGGAGTTTCTGTATATTTTTCAAAATATTCTGCAATTTGGGATGGAAACCTTTTTCGGTTACGGCCAAGAATTAGATAAGAAGATTAATACCACACAGATAGAAAGTGGTATGGGTCTCATCTAAATCCTGGCAAGAAAGTGAACCAGCATGAGTGCTGAACTATACCTTTAAAATGAAGAACTGATAACATTTTGTTGGATCACATAAACAGTCAAAACCAAAACAGCGTAATAAGGGCACACGTTACTAAGACGGGACAGCTGCAAAATCCTTCAACAACCTCCAGTAGTCCAACACAACGCACAATATCAATGGCACGGAAAATACTGTAGCAAAAATAGCGACCTCAAATCGACAATAGGTACAACGAGCTTCAGGTATACGGCCGGGCGGCTTACAGCACATTACAGTACATGTCCGAGTTACATTCGGCCCCCTCCGTCTGTCTGCTGTCTCGCTGCAGATGGCTTCACGACCAGCTGCTCACCACCCTCAGCCCCCCCCCCCCCCATCCTCCCCCAGCTCTGCGTTCGAGGAACCAGATATCACCCGGACCACTCTGCCGGGCCGAAGCCGGCTCACACCACCCACACTGGCAGGTCCACGTCCAAGCGGCACGGAACGGAGAGAGTGGCTCTGATAGCAACCCGAAGGCAAGTCCCCCCACCCCCCCCCACCCCAAGACCCTTCCGTTTACTTTTAAACCCTTTTGGTCTTGCAAGCGAAGTCACAGGAGAAGTTGCGATCCCCGTCACGGAGCATCCGGTAGTTTAACTGAAATAATCTGTACATCTTGGGAGGCATCGTCCACAGAGATGTTTTAGCAAATTGCTGTCTATGTATAAATTGTGCATTCTTTCATATTCAGGAGTCGGGAGCATTGCAGCATTTTAGCAATCTGTGCCCCCCCCCCCTCAGGGTGAAGGACGTGTGGAATCAGCTTTGGGTGTTTCGGTGTCACTGGAAGCCTACGGCGCCGTCCACGAGGCTGGAGCAGTAGAGGTCCGGGGGGCCTTGGAGTTCAGTCTCGTGGGTCCGGGCGTGGCCTTCCTCACACTCGTCCTCGTCCTCCCCGTCCTCCTCCGCCGCGCCGTGGCTGGAACTCTGGGATCTGGCCATGGCGCCGTAGGTGTGGTGAGCCGGGGACGGCATGGGAGTCAGAGCCAGCTCTGGCTCCAGCAGCACCGAGGCCACAAACAGCTGAGGGAGGACGATCAAAGTGTGGTTAATGATGGCGTCACACAGTAAATCACCCGTTTTCCACCGGAGTGCATTCGATGAAAGCATGATTCATGTTTTGTCCTCGGGTTTGTTTACCTGACCTGCACTCATTCACCAACTCAAGATCCACATCCACAACACATTTTTAAGTCTGTCTTGCATCCAGTCTTAAAAAGTAAATGTCAATTATCTTAAATGCAGTTGTGGATACATTTAACCTTTGCACTTTGAAAGATCATGCATGTTTCTGCTTCTGTGATATATGCAGAGCATTTGTTTAGTCTTTGACGGCAAAATGTGACTATGAAGAGAAATATGAGACTGTGGTACACTGGAGGCAGTAGTGGATGTTACAGTAGTCCTGTCTCCGTCGGTAAACGTCCCCTCCGCTGGCTGATCAGACATCTGAAGCAAACAAAAGCACATCATTTGTTCAGTATTAGCTCAGTCCTCAGCTGGACTTGGTGTGCGTGGGGTTGCGGCGGAGCTGACCTGATAGCTCGTGGACTTGTCTGGCTGCTTCCTAAGGCACAAGCGGAACAGGCAGAACGCTACGCAGGAGAGCAGGGACACTAAGGTGAAGAGGGTGATGGGATGCACTGGGCCTGTGACAGCAAGGTGTAAGAAATCACAGCTTCATAATGCCACAAGCAACGAAGGTTACGGACACTGTCACAGGACACAAGCGGGATTGATAAAAGTACCTAATCGGAGCATTGAGAAGAAGAGCAGCCAGAACATGCAGAGGATGGGGGCCAGGATGACCTGGCTGATGGCCGCCTTGTGGATCCGTTGGTTGAGTTTAGTGGGAACGTATGCGTAGTAGATGTTGTATCGGTCGACCATGTGCTTCAGGATCACATAGAGCAGACCTGCAGCGGCGAAGAAAACACATTCAGATGTCCAAAGCACTACAGTTCTGCGGAAAATGGACGACGGTATTGATGACTTGATGTGTTACCGTCGTAGTAATAATGAACCCTGAACACTGAATATGATGCTCAATGCAACGCTGAATACAACGTGAAATTGCATTGTTGTGACAAAAAAATAAGTCTTGCGTTTATTTCATCCAAACGAATCATTTTCACCCTTATCTTTGGGTGCCCTCTGTTGTTACTTTGTGTTTCCAGCCAATGAGGTTCAACATAACCAGCGAGATTATCCACCTCAGCTCTGCCCCCCCAGAAGAAAAACAAAATGCAGACAGCCGCCGGGGTGAAACGCACAGAGCAGCAGGGTAGCATGTGTGATAGGGGCCTGTTCGCACTAGTTTTTGACTGCAGTGGCAGGAGACAGGAGCAGAGTGGGCGTCTGGCTCGCAACTCACTGTGTCTGGGTGTCTGGGACTACAGCAGCGAATTCACACAGTCTGCAATCGGACGGGCAATCAGCAGCGAGGTTACAGCATGACACACACACACACACACACACACACACAAGACCAAGAGGGAAGGCGAGGAAAGACGGAAGGTGGAAAGGACCGGGTAGATGGGGATTTTGTCGGAGTGTTGCTCACCAAAGGGCGTGATGATGGGACAAGTGATGCTGTAGGTCATACTGACTGCAAAGATGCACATGGTCCAGGCGTACTCCAGACCAAACTGGAACTCGTAAGCCTGGCTCTGCACACAAGCACACAGCGCGTTCATCACACAGAAAAATCTAATGAAACGCCAGTAAAAAAAAAAGCATTTGAAAAATATATAAATAAGGCTCCTCTGACCCGTTTGACGTGAATGCGCTCCGCCTGGGACTTGGCGAAGCAAAGGCGGAGGGCGTACACGGTCAGCGCCGGGATGCGGAGCAGCTCCATAGACGTGCCAATCAGACTAGATGTGATCACGTAGTTCACAAAGAATGCACCGTTGTCGGGAAGAAACACGCATCTGCAGCGAGAAAACAAAAAAAACAAAAAAAGGGTTTGCCTGCGACTGAAATGTTTTTGTCTCGAGTCAGAATACTTGAGGGTTTGGTTAAAACAAAAAAAGAGTTCTTACTGGAATTTCACCTCCTTTTCACTCAAGAAGTTGACGTCGAAGAGCCATGTGAAGAACAGATCCAGACTATAGACACAAAAATCAGAAGAATTCCATGAAGATAGGCATGCAAATGAAAGTTATCTGTTTCTGTCGTGGCTGCGGATACGCTGATTGTGTACCTGGACAGACCAAGTGAGGGCAGGATGATGACCATGAAGACCAGCAGGAAAAAACACTTGTGCATCGTCACTTGGTTCTCGCCGGATCTGAGACATTAAACGAATGACACGGGATTGTAGGGAACGTCGTCAATGCATATTTAGTTGTACAAAACATATCAAGGCAGTTCCCTTCCACATAGTAAACTCAAAATGGCAAATAATGAGACGTGAAATCAGCTGAATCGAAATGTAAAGGACCGCTTTTCACTCCAGAAAACCGTTCATTTGCATTTGCTCGTTCGCACATCACGCCTGCACAACACGTTTGTGGGGGTGATGTAAAGAAAGGGAGCTCATTGGTGCTGTGTGAGGTTGTCTGCTAATGCACAGTAAGTTCTGCCCCGCCTCCCGCTAGTCACCATGTGCCTTTCCCCTGTGCACGGGCACTACAGCGCATACGATTATCCTCACATGGAGATCTCTATGACAACCTGCCTAGAATATCAGTGCAGGGAGGGGGACCGAGAGGAGGAGGGAGGGGATTAAAAGAGCAACAGGCTGAAAAAGAAAAAGAAAATAATTGAGACGGGAGACGGAGAAATGCCGAGAGTTGAGAGGAAGACAGGAAGCTACACGTGAAGGTGTCTACTTGAAGAAGCAGAGGACTCAAACCTGGTCCAGTGGGACTCAAAGAAGGCGGAGTAGTAGACGATGAAGGGCAGGAGTACCGAAAACGCCCACAGCAGCAGGGTTGGGAAGAACTGGGTGATGACAGGGCTCTGGATCGAACAGATCAACCATTCATTAATAAAAAACTAAAACAAAGAGCCGCGCTGACGCAGTGGCCTCGAGCACCGACCTGCAGGCTGTCCACGGGCCGCGTGACGTTGAACTTGTCCATTGTGTTGACGATGATGGCGGGAGTGGTGAGGAAGAAGAGCAGGAGGAAGAGGAGGATGTTGAGGAGGACGCATCGGAGCCACCAGCGAGATCCGCACACTGACAGGTTTTCCCTGGTGACGGGAGGAATGACGACATTCAACACGCGATCGCGCGGCACGGGACCGACGGAGCACTTAAGACACGCGACCGGCCCCCGACCGGCCCCCGACCGGCCCCCGACCGGCCCCGTGTGCGTTTGTAAGCCTGAAATAGACCAGCTACAGACTTGATCTGTGGGTTTTGATGAAGGAACAATAGTACGTGCTTGACCCCTGACCTGCTCCAGTTGGCTAGTTAGTGCAGGAAACACAAACACACCGTAGCCAATCAGACGTCGAGGCACGAGCAGCGAGCGATGCCGTGTCTTTCGTTAATACCCCATACGTATGCATCACTCAGTCGTTACATAATCCCACTGCCACGGCTGCATTTGTCTCGTTCCTGAGATAAGAAACGTGCCTCGTGGCTAATTCAATCACGGAAAGGGAATCAGCTTGAATTGTTTTTTGAGATGCGCTGAAAAGAAATTCCGATGAACCGTGATTTAATTATTTAGTAATCTGGAGGAGCAGCGCAGAGCTCAACGGGAAAAGATGTGGGAATATTATTGTGATTTGTGTTCCATTTGTCTAACGACTATAAAGGTCTATCATCACAAGCTAATGTTGGATCATAAAATGACTCAAAGCACTGGTTTAAAGTCCAGACACAATCCAGAGCGTTTCAAAATACACCAAAAGATTTTAATTAGGGGGGAATGTGTTTAAATGATGCGACAGACATGTGGGAGTGGATATTATACGCAAAATATGTGTTTACATGCGCCTCCCTCAGACCAAAGAGACATGCAAGTGTGGTCATTAAATTGCTTGTACTTTGGGTTTGATTGTGACTGTGGCTGCTTGTCAGTCACTGCAACAATGCATGCTGGGATACCTGCAACCATGCACAGAATATGTATAAATATATATAATGGAGGGGTGGATTTATCGCTCGCTATAAAAGCAGTGGTCTCGGTGTGAAAAGGGAAAATGAAGTTATTTAGGAAACTATAGCAAACTATGCGAGTTCCAGGTAAAGTCAGTACCGACCATATGATGTCACTGGGAGCAGGTGCGTAGTCCACCTCCCATTTTTGCGAGTGCACCACGGTGGTGATGCTGGACTGCTGGGGTCTGCGACGGCAGCGCACACAACCGTAGTCCTTCACAATGCTGGCGAGACGAAACAGGGGAAATCTGCATCAGCGTTCACGCGGTTTACGCGGCGAGAGGAACTGACCAACACGTGCCGTCGTTTACTCACACGGCAGTCATCCTCTCGTCGCGAAAGGTCACAAAGGCAATGCCGAGCCTCTTCATGGAGATGCGGCTCTTCTCGGCGTTGAACTCGTCCGTCCGCTTTTCTTCTAACTCGCCGTAGTACTGTTCTGCATCCACCTGCCAATGAGAGGGAATCTTTCATCCTCAGAAAGATCCTCCGTGTCCAAGAGTGAGGCAGGATACGTTGTTGCTGCATGTTCTCATTTCTGGATCTCAGCGCCACCCTGTGGTAACATACTTTCTGTGCAGCACAAGCCAGATGCACGTCCACACAGGCAGTTGCCTTATGAATAGAAAAAAAAGTACCTGTTCAAAGCCACACATGTCGCAGCAGAATATCTGAGCACATGGATGGGTCTTGATCATGATCTTCCCCTCCTTTTGGGCCTTTGTGGCAAAATACAGCCGGCCTTTCATCGCCTTGCGCCTGAAGAAGACAGCATCCTCAGACAAAGAGTGTCGCACTGAGCCCAAGTTGTGTTGGTCCAACGTAATGCAGCAACTGTACCTCTCTGCGTCCAGCCTCATCAGCTTGTGGACGTCAAAGCAGAATCGGATATCGGTGACAGTGCAGCTGGGGTAGGCCTCACTGGTGGATGGAGCAAGAGGAGTTAATCATAATGAAGGCGAGGATGTTCCACATGTACAGTGGCATTGTGTCGTTAATTAAACAAAATGCAAAGGAAAAAGACGAAAGAAGACGTGTACTGGAAGTGTTTGGTGATGAGTCCGGGGTCGGAGATCTCTCTTGGTATGGAGGTAATCATCAGTGTCCTGGCTACCTGAAACACAGCATGTGATCACCATGAAAAGCAGTTACAATAAACCGAATGACAATTTCCATTTCTACAATGTTCCATGATATTTGAGGCGCCCTAATCAGCGTGCTAAAACACAAGAGTCGAGACTTTGACTTTTTCTGCAGTATAAAAATGGCGATGGTGTCGGACCTTCTCGTCTTCTTGGTACTCCAGCCGTATCAAGTGGTGAGCCATACACAGCGACGTGATGATGAAGTAGACCAGAGCCAAGACACTGTGGAGCCACAGAAAGCCGTCCCTGTTCCACACAAAAAGGGTTTAAACAAACATAGAGATGTTTCTGCGCTATTTCATGACATTTGATGTCATTTGCAAAACGTTAGACTTACTTTGCACTAACATTAGCCAGCGTTGTTCTCCCAAAGTTTTCAGGACTGTCTCCTGTAGTGATAATGAAACATGACGGAGAGAGAGACGCTGTAATGTTCTAAAATGACTAAAAGGGAAACTGCTCCTTTTGTGCCTGAATTTCCATCCAATTTAATGACATCTTTCTCATCTCAACGACATTTCACACTAAATTCAATCAGTGCAGTCATGGCTGACTCTGGAGGTTCAGTTCCGGCCGTCTTTGTCTGCTGTTACCATGGCAGCTTGTCATTGGGTGTTGGTTTATTTAATGGCCACAATGTCACACTGGTTCATCAGATGACAGCCAGCAGTAGTAAAACTTAACAAACCGGCCCTCATGCTGTTATGGAAACGATGACTCAACACTTCCTACAAAGTAAGCACGCAACTGCCAAAAACTGCATTTTTGCTGTTATTTAAAACGTTCTGCACTATCCAACCCCTCACACCGATGTGTGAAATGAAGCCCCTCATGAAGCCTAATTCACCTCATTATCTGGTTCATTTTAAGACACCTTTTCAGTTGATTTCAGCTTTGACCCTAATTTCATATATGCAATTCTTTTTTTTTTATAAACTCAGTTTTACCACAGATTATTTCTAGGCCAAACGTTCCGTGTATTTAACCTACACATCCTTTGGTGGTTGTCTGTGTGGCCTGGCCTCTCTCCCTGCGTGATTTCTCCCTCGGCTTTTCATATAGTCTGCCGGACCATAATTTAAAGAAAATCATACCCAGGAGGTTCCCAGAAAAGTTGACGGGCAGTATTATGGCCAGAGACAGCAGGCAAACCACCGTCATGAGCAGGATGATGTGGCGCTGGAAAGACAGGTATGTAACGGCGTCAATGCCGCATTTGCTACGGATCTCCTCGTCCCTGCAGAGACGGAGAGATGGGGAAACTATCAGAACCCCTGGATGAACTATTCAATAGATGCCAAATGCTCTTTGACACAAGGCCAAAAAGAGAGATTGTTCTTGAGGGGTCAATAATGGGTGGGACACGCCTGTAAATGCACGCGGCTCTATCTGTTGCCAGGACAAATCAGAAGTCAAATTGTGGCTCTGCTTCGGTGCCAGAAGCTGTGGTTGCCAGGGAGGTTCAGGAAAAACCCAGTGTCACAAATATAGAACCAAAAGAAAAGCAACAAAAAAAAAAAAAAGCGGGGCTCGGCAGTCACGTGGCGGCCCACACATTGCGAACTCTCAGGGTGGGTTTGCATTTTCCTAGGGTGAGCCGCTGGCACAGGCGCAAAAAAGAGACACCCATAACACGGTGTAAACCATGGGTATCGTGGAAATAATATTTCCTACAGGCCTAGATCGGCTGCGTGCAGTCAGACATGCAGCGAGAGCGAATGCCCAATTGGGAACCACGGCAGCGGCGGTCGCACGAGCCCACAGTCGTTTGTTTTTGTTGCTAAATGACACATTACAGGAGGCTTTACGTTCGCTGGAGACGGAGGACCAACAAAAGGATGGAAACTGAGATGAAGGAAGGATAAAAACTTACTTCATATGGTAAAGGTATGAGAGCCATGAGCAGAAGCCCTGGAGAGAGAGGAGCATCGTAAAGAAAAAAGAAAAAAGAAAAAAGAAAAAAAACATCCCGCGGATTAGTTATTAACGATGATATACGACATACGTACACAACTTTGTGCGCACCACATCTGCTTGCTTCATCTACTATTTGCATAGCAATAAGGTCTGCACACAGAGGGGGGAGATTTAATAGGTCTAGCCTGGAGCGGTAACAACTTTACTGGGCACAGGGCGATGACTCCGTCTGACTCTTATGCCGTTTATGCACATGCAGGGAGGGACCTCAGTCGCACAGGTGTGATGGAGTCACACGGTCCAGCTGAGGAACGAGTCAAACTTTCCTCCTTCGACAGTTGACGCGATGTCATCTTAGACAAGTGGACAAGTGTCATTTGTAAATGAACAGTGACAATGATATAATTCCTGTAAATAAAACAGGATCGGGAATACTTTCCCTTTTTTTTTTAACCTTCTGTGCACTTTCATTAGAATAGACAAATATTTTAAGAGGTACGGATGAGTTTTAGGACACATGAACTGTGATTTGTTTAGACAGGCGGTGTCTGGGTGTTTGTTTAGAATGAAGTATACTTTTAAATGATCTGAAAATGCCATTAAGGGGTTTCCTTATTGCTTTTATGAGCTTATAAGAAACTCTAAGCCAAATAAAACAAAGCTCACCATGTCCTTGGTCTCAGAGTCAGAGGGGCTGGACTCTGACGGAGACTTCTCTTTCTCATTCGGTTCTCCATAAAACAGGGAGGTGAGACTGAAAAGAGGACAGTAACAGTAAAGACGGGGTGACACTGCTTTAGACAGCCGCACAGTTTCAAACTCTGTACAGAAAGATGACATGAAACACACTCAGTACGGTCGGATCTAATAAAGCCGGTGTGATGATTGCATTTGTGGATATTGCTTTCTGGGTCCGTACCACTGACAGTTCAACATTGTGTCAAATTAGGAAGCATAATTCACTCAGAGCAGACAGATGCTGCTCGCCCTCGGCTGCCATGAAGCCGCTCCGCTGAAGAGGCGACTTAAGTCAAGCAGAATTTATTGATTTATTATTGATTTACTAATTATAAGCTCAAACAACAGTGAACCATATTATAGTCCGTATAGTCTAACAGGTATTGTCTGTGTGTCAACGTCTCTTTGCAGTAAAGAATTGTTCAAAACTCCAGTAACTTTTATAAAAACCTGTTTAGAGTTGAACTATAACCAGAAACCAGTGGATGTTGAGTGTTACAGGCAGGGTTAAAAAGTTAGAAGCTATTGAGAGATGACTTAACACAAAAAAACGCCAGCCTCATAGTCTTGTCCTTTAGCTTTTTCAAGGTGAAATAGACAAATATTGTTAGGTTTAAGTCTTTAAATATGAGAATTTGCTGCTTTTCTATATTTCATATTCGTGTAAATGGAACATATTATGATTTGAGAAATATCTATTGGGACAAAACAGGCAATTTATTTTGAGAATTAGTTCAATCCAAAATGGAAATAATTATTAAAATAAAAAAAAAAGGTGATTAGTCCATTCATGCTTTTATCTTTATGTTTATATATATACATACATACATACACGTTATATGTGCAAGTCTAATCTGTGTTAACACATATGCATTAATGAAAGTAAATGATTATTAGAAGCAAAGGCTGAGCAGCTCTCTGCAGTGCTTTGCCTCCTACGCGGTACCATTACTCCTCAGCAGAGGGAGCTGGAGGCCTCGTGGTCAGGACTCAGGAGAACTGTTGCCATGGCTCACAAACCAGAAGCGTATCAGCGTTTGTGCGTGATGGATTCACCTGTCGTTCTCCATCAGCAGAGCTAGGCGACCGTAGTCCCATGCAGCCTTCCTCAGGCACGAGAAGACGAGTAGCAGGAACTATAAACACAGAGCCAGAACATGTGCGCATGAAGCTGCCGAGAATCTGAATTACACAATCGCACAAACACACACACACACACACACACACACACAAACAACAGCACATCCGAAGACTTTCCATACTGCCGGACTTGAAAGCCGTGGCCTGTCTGTCTGTTGTTCTATGTCCATAAGGAGCCTTCATAAAATAGACGGGTTCAGAAAGCAGCAGCAATAATGAGCCATCGTCTTTCTGGTGGTACGTGGTTGTCTTGGAAACAACCAGAAACGGGTCAGCATGCACACACACAAACACATGCTGTGCACCACTACTAAAAGGAGTGCGGTCAAAAGCAAGAATGAATGTGAAAAGCCTCCATTCTGCCACAAATGGAGTGGCAAAGAGAAGCAACACAATGATATAATGATATATTACACAATACAAAATTCATGCTTAACAGCTCTTGTTAAACTCAAAGAGCATAATTGAGCAATAAAGGATGAATGTTGACAAATGGAAATAAACCGTTAATTTGAGTTTAGAAGGCATTTGGTTTTACTGGACAAGGATAAAAGCAATGTTAATAGGAAAAATGCCCTCATTAAAGATTCATTCATTCATGGCGATATTGCGCTACGTGTTCACATTCACCGTCAGGGTCAAAACCCCTTCATTGAATAAGAATCCCTCCGTTATCTCGCTCTTTTGCCAGCGTCTGTCTCCGTCCTGTTGTTTCCGTTTGTTTGGCCTTCATGCGTGGGCCTGCTCTCCTCAAGTCCCACAGATAATTATTATTCTGTATGATGATGGAATTGATGCAGAGGCGTGCTCCCATACCCTGGGGGGGGGGGGGGGGGTAACGCTTTGACTCATGCTCGCCCGTAGGAGACAGCTGTTGACCCTGCGTGTTGTCTTGACAACGAGGCGGCGTTAACATGAGGCAATTAAAATAGGGAGGTGGCAGATTGAGAGTGATATCAGCGCAGAGATCAAGCTCGACAAGGCCTGACCCCCCTGTTTGTATGCGGAGACAGCAGGAACATACGCATTTATGTTTGTAATCAGCCATTTGATAGCTATGAAATGCAAATAATGTGTGTGTTTATAACCAGATCCAAAAGCCTTCACACAAAGAAATGTTAAAAAAAGTATTTTGCAATTGTAAAGACATTTCCTGGAGAAAATGAGAAATTTAAGTGTTCAATAAAACGCAACATTACTCTTTCTGCCGTGCGTGTGTGTGCGCGTGTTTGGAGGGAATACGACACATCTACGATGCCAATGATACATTTCTAATGGAGGAAACCCATGCAGGAGGGAAACGTCATGCATCCCCATGATGGATGGGCGGACGCGCGCAAGTCAGTACCATCCAGAGCACCACATTGATGGCGAGGACCGTGGGCACGCCTCCAAACGGCAGGCCCTGGAGGACGCTGCTGCGGGAGTGCGACCGGTAGCATCTCTCCGCGGTGCCGTTTTCATCCCCGAAAGAATCCAGGAAGCTGAGAGCGTCCAGCTCTGCAGCCGTGCCCTCCGCAGAGGGCGCTCTCGTCACCAGCAGCTGAGCGTGCGCCATCAACGCTGGAAATGATCTGAAGGAAAGAAAAAGATACAAAGAATTTGACCAATACACCCGAGCGTTGAGACTCGGTTATCTGTCCTGTTGAAGCTTGCGGATGTTTGGGTTTTAAACACAGTGATTCAAAGTGTAATCACTTTGGGTTAACTGATCATTAATACACTCTGTAACAGTACAATGATTGTTTATTGAGATTGAAGGGACATTTAAACTCTACCCTTTCCTTAATAGCAGCTGTCGACACTCTTTAGATAATGCTAAAAGCTAGTTGATCTAGTGTTAGTAATCCTGAGTCCTTTCTACTTTGCATTGGAGGAGAGTCAGCAGACTGAATCATTAAGAGGGTTAATGTGACATTCTTGTTTAATGGGTCAACAAACTTCTCTGTGCGTGTACTCCCCATTATCTTCACACACATAAAAGCTGTCTAATGCTAAATTAACCCGGCATATTTCACCTTTAACAAGCCATTGTTTGATTATTTCTTCTGAGACCTGCCACTCGCTCTAAGTGCAGTATTGATTATTATTGAAATGATAACCATTATTCTCTCCACAGCTACTGACTGCCGTGTCTGTTGAAGTGACAAGCTGATTGGACGGTGAAAAACCATGAGACGTGGATGAAAGATGCCCATTCAACCATATTTCTGTTGTGGGATCTCAGTTTAACAGTACAAGAATAAAAGCTTAAACGTGTTCACTCCACTGCAGTTTTAAACAGCTTGTTAAGGATCGGACGTTTCTGTGAATCCCCTCGTCTGCAGAGGCAGGATACAATCATTCACTGCCACGACCACAGAATGGAGGACTGAACCATCTGCACAGATTCGATCAATACACTCCACAACCAGCTGCTCAGCTTGTGTACACTCCTCACCTGATAAACGGTCCGAGGAAATGGAGCGTCAACAGAGTGCCGACAAAGCCTTGCGTCAATACGGCGAGCGAATATACATCGGTCATCAGATTTCACCGGAAAAGGCAGCCGGATTCCACGGGATCTTTGAGCGACAGCTGCGGCAGTAATCCCAGGAGGAAACCGCATCGCAGCCCTCCGCTGTCCAACTCTCGCCAGAGATGTGAGGCAACAAGAGACTGAAGAGGAAGCTAAACGCCTGATAACTGGCACACTTTTCCCATCCCAGACCGTGGTGTGATTTATCACTGCGCCAAATGATGTCACTTCCTGAGAAGTTGTGGGGAATTGACCGAGCGGCACTTACTGAACGTACATGAGGATGTCTGGTGTGTGGTGTGGTGTGGGGGGGGAAGGAGGGGGGGTCGGAAAGGTCTTATTTCCTTTGAATAAAACCCGGTGCTCTTTTAGCACTGTTGTTGTCTTTATCTTTCAGCTTTGAAACCATAAAGCCTGCAGTCAATATTCAGATGCATCTGAGCCTCCCCGTGGAGACAACTGGGGAGGAGTTCTCCTGAGGGTGGACCACAGAGCAAATCTATAATGTACACACACACACACACACACATACACACACAGTCTGCAGTGTTTCATTTATATCTATATACAGTCCTTTGATGAGTCTTGTTTCACATTGTCATACAAGCTGATGGATACAATAAAATGAATATTTAAATAAAAGCTATTGCTTGTGATAACACTATGGTGATACTGTTTGTAGCACTTGGCTGTTCTTTAATAAATTCAATCATCACATAAAAAGAAAAAGGGAAAGGCAAACCGCTCTGCGTGTTTTAATGGCAACAAAACAATCAAATCGGAACTGCGTGGACTGTGACATACAGCAAGCGCAGCTGAATTAAACAGGATTGATGTCTTATTTGGATGAAAATACAACTACTATACTACAATAGCTAACTGTAAACTCAAGCCCTCACTAAACCTGACATGCGACAAGTAAACAGACCTTTATCGTCTCATTGTTGTTGTTCTTCCTGCATCAGACGGGTCGTTCACTTTGAGCTCGGCGCCGATGCAAACAGCTAAACTCTCCCTCTCCGCCTCCACAGCGGGATGCTGAGGGATACAGGCTGGCTGTGTGTGTGTGTCTGTGTGTGTGCGCTTCACACAACATTCGGATAAACGTCACTGCATGACTCGGCGGTTTTAACAACAACAAGACTTTTTTCTCTGTCTCACACGTCTTGTATAAACCCTCAAACATGCTCACAGGCATCCCGCCGTATTCATTTTGTCTCCGGCTTACTGAACTCGACAAATCGGAATCTCTCATCCAGCTTCCGAGCCGTCGCAGCAGATTATAGACTGGTGTTCGGTTCGGTTGGCAGCGCGCGGGAGATGTCTCCTCTCTGCTCGGTTAGACTGTTAGTCAGTACGGGAACAGCGAGCTGGTGATAAAAGAACCGATTTTCAGTCAGTGAAGCAGAAAAAGAGAAGAAAAAGCTGGCTCACGTCAGCTCATTGCACCGGAAAAAAACGCTGAGGCATCTGTATGTGTTTCTGCCTGTAGTTGTGTGTGTGTGTCTGTAGGTGTGTGTGTGTGAGAGTAGGAGATCAGATATCATCATCACGGAGAAAAAACAATTTAACTGTAAGTCAGAAGGTCGATAACTAGCGATGGACCCTAATTCAATCAGGATACATTTTCATGAAACCAGCTTCTTCTTTAGCCTTTTTTTTCAGTGTTGTCAAAAACTGAAACTACTTTTCACAAGCTTAAAACGTGTTGAACATCCATCCAGTGGTTTATAAGACATTAAACTAAAACCTGTTTATGCCGTAGGAAAAGTAAAATTAGAATTCATCATCTTGGCGCCATAGATATCTTTTGCCAATATCAATACAAGAGTCGTCATTCAAAATTAGTAACTTGTGCTAAAAAGAAAAGTGGTGGAGGTCAGTAAAATAAAATGAAGAAAAACGTGACAAACAATAGTTTTTGAGATATTATCTGTCTAGACCGACTGGCATTCACCTTCGTGGTTTAACACACCGAGAATTTACTGTCCTTTAAATCACTTGAAACAGACCCCTCAACAAGTGCTGTGTCATGCATCCAGAAGCTGAATCTATGTCGCCATAAACAAAGGAAACATTGTTGCATCTAACAATTCGGTAGCGTTGGGTCGTGTTCCCAGCTGCACCACAACCCAACGATGAACATAAACCATTTGGTGGACAGCCGCCCAAAAAGAGCTTTTTCTCTCATCATCAAACATTCAGTCGGACCAGGATTTATTGCCTGCCTGAGGGAGTGAGATTGCTCCGGTTTCGGCAGAGAGATGAACCATAAATAAAAATGTATGTGAACTTGCGTTGACTTCCAAACCTCTGCTTCCGTATCAGCGGTCAGCCACTGGGAGATAAAGACTGCAAGCCAAAGGAAAATAAATAAGTAAAAGAGTCAAATCTGAGCTGATGTTCTCCTCTTGAGTGTGTCCTTGTTAAACGTGGCGTTTTATCTCACCACGCTACCTGCATATCAGGGGGGGGGGGGGGGGGGTCCCCGTTTTCCTTTCTCAACCACGTCATCTCAAAAGGTGTCAGTGCCCGGACCATATTCATTGTTTTAAGAAGTGCTGTGCATGTTAATCTTAAAAAACTGAGCTGCTGAATATGGAAATCCTGGTGGTTTAAAAAGTGTTCTGTTAAAAGAAACATGAGCCCATGAGACGAGATGATCACTTGCGGTACGCTCTCAATCACTGTACATGTTCTCTGTAGCCCCCCCCGGGTGCTGGTGGCGGGGTGCTGTTGGAGATTGTGGATAGACAACCCTCATCAAAGCCAGCCCGAGGGGGAAAAGTGGGCGGAGGTACAATCTGCTCACCACCTGCTCGGCGGAAGAGGAAGGAGGGCTCCGCTCAGCCTCCTCACTCCTTTCTCTCCCCTCTTTCTGTCCACCACGCAAGCACAGATCAGCGAGGCGTGTCCGCACGGGACCCACGGCTACTGCGGCACGCAGCCTCTTTCTTAAAGCCTAAATGAGCCATTGCATGAATGGAGTGATGATGACACACACGCGCGCTCGCGGGCCGTGGATCAACAAACCAAACACCTGCTTCCTGTGTGTCTGCACGCACTCTGCGGGTCCCCACGGGAGGGGGGGGGGGTCGCCGTCTGCCGGCCCCACTGTTGCTGTGCGGACGGGGCCGCTCCTCATCAGGGCCCACCTGAGCTCAGGGAGGCAACGTGTGCTGGATGAACCGAACTTGGAACAAATAGCCGCAGAAGAGTCTGTGTTTTCTCTGCAACTTACTCCCACGTCTACAGAAAGAAGTGCAGACGCTGCTCATGTAACAGATGGCCTCGGATACTTTTCTACCCTTTGTAAGCATCTTAAATATATCTAAGAGGAATACACGAAACAATCGAAATACTGCGCCTCTCAACACTGAAGTACTGTGGAAACACATGAAACGGATTTAATTTAAGCAGGTGAACTACTCCCCTTTTTAACATTAGAAAACACAAAGTAAAGGGAAGAAAATCCAAAGAAACAGGCTTAGCGGATGATTCTCTTATACTTGCCACTTAGCGTCGGCCTCTTCAGCAGTTAACGATCCATATCCAGAGAATCCATCTCTACAGAAATCCCCTTTTATCAATCTCAGCTCAGTTTCTCCTGAAATATAAATAAGTGCTTGGTACTCAAAGGTGACCTGCGTTCATTTGCTCTCTGCCTACTTAGTGTGCACTCATCCTTTTGAAGTGTTGGATCTCATATTAAATGCATGGAAAATCTTTTCATACATACATTTAAAATGATAGAGGGGTTTAGGCTTATTTAGGAGTTATCAAACACAATTAAAAAGGTCTGGTGAAAGAAAGTTGTAGTGTCAGTTTGAATAGATTCCAATGGGGAAGAGCTTAAAAAAAACTACCAATTCCTGGAAACATCTCTCTGATTAATGAACAACACTGACTCAATTTAATTTGATCTCATATGTGATTGAGCTGTTTATTTACGGACCTCATCAAAATAAATGTAGCTCTATTTAAATCACTTTTAACCCTTTTCCACATGCATGGAATTTGTAAAGCTTTTAAATGCAATGCACGGATGATCCAAAACCCATTAGAAATCTGACATTTTAAAGGCCACTTCCCCTCGTCACAGTCAGGTGCAAAATGGCAGGAGATGTTAATGGAATATGGAGTCTGCTTTGGTTTTAAACATTACAAGAATACAACATTCGACCAAAGCAGACATGTGTTTATATCAAAAACGGAGTTATGAGTTACTGGCAAAAGAAACGTACTTAGTATGGAATCAACTGTGGCCTCAGTTTATCACAAAAACGCCTCCTGGAATGTTTTATTGACAGAGGCAACAGAGCCAATCGCAGCGTTGAAACATGCTGAATATCCAGCAGAAATAAAGATTCAACAGGTCAAAATACCTGCTTACTTGACCAATAGAAAAACAACAACAACAACAACAACAGGCAACTGCAGAGAGAATACAACCACAGCATGGCTGTAACCCCAAGACTCATATGCACTGTTCCTGTTATTATTATTACTATTATTACTACAGATGGGAGTTAAAGTGACCGAATCAAGGTCTCCCACACAAATACTCCCCCACAAATGCTCAATTAGGAACAATAGACGTGGTGTTTTGGGTGTAATAGCCGGACACGTTGCCAAAGACGTCGACCACCTGACCAGACAATAACAACGCAGCACAACAGTTGCAGGCGGCGAGCGTTTTACGACGGAGCGCCTCAATTACACAAATGCTATTTTTCACAACCGAAAGACAACGTGCGTCTCTTTCTCAAATCACACAAATTCGGCGACTGTGTTCGGCGGCTGACTGCAGCCCTCGCGACAGTCTGCGCGCCCACCTTCCTCCTCATCCTCATCCTCCTCATCCTCATCCACCTCTGTAACTTGATAAAAAACGATTGCGCCACAGATTGCGCATTCAGCCGCACCAGTCCGCGTTTAGATCCCTCGCACAGATATGCAAGACATTCCTTTTTTAAATCACATCGCTCACCCTCAGGAAGCTTCCGGATCGCTGGTGTCTGCTGGTTTGGGGTGCTGATTTTTTTTTTTCTCCCTTCAACACCAAGAAACTCCCACCTACTCAGGGGCCGTCTGACAATTAAACACCTGCCGGGAGGCTGCTGAGGGAGCGTCAAGTAATGCGTCACCTCCGACATCTCGTTTTTGACTCTATTTTAAACATAGCAACAACCAAAAATATATATTATATATATATATTATCAGTAATATTATTGTAAAATAATACTTTGTCATGTCAGATTGTGTCAACCGTTTAGCCTTACTAGCCCAAACAAACTTAACAAAGGTATTTTCTAACCAACCTTGACTACTATAGAGTTCACAAGCTTAAGGGTAAATGCACTGATCGTTAAAGTAACACAACAACAAAATGTGTAGCACCCATAGAGAGTGTTATCACATGCAAGATACATTTAATAAAAGCAATTAAAGAATATTTTGCTAATAATAATAATCATAATACTTACCTAAGTGGCCCTCCAAGATGATTTAATTGAATTATCGGAATAATAATATAACCTCTTCCTCCACATCAAACAATCGAATCGAAATAACAATACGCAAAAACCTCAAACACCAAAAAAATGTAATTTCCCACATCTTCTCCATACGTCAGATGTGGGCTGTTACTACGAGTAAAACTACACGGCCAATTACAAGGAAGGAAGCACAGACGCACCCAGGCCAACAGGTGGCGGTAGAGAAAGGACCTGACACCCCAATAATAATTTTTAAAGAAAGGACATCAACGTGGATCAACATGACCTTCTCCGCGTTGGAATGATCCGCGGTGCTGAAAGGACAGCTCCCCCGCTCTCCAACACCTGCAGGTAGGCGACTGGACACCACGAGGATGGGGATGTTTTAATCGTGTCGTCATGGGAACGAAATGATTGACGCGGTCGTGAGAAAGAGGAGCCCGCGATAGAAGGCTGTGGGTGAGCTATGATATCCAGGGCAGTGATCGACCTAAATCGAAGCTTCCCACCGCCGTTTTCATAAATGGATATGATCGCCCGTTCGGGGGGTTTGGCCCCTTTCATTCCCCTCTTTAGGTGCTTTGATTATCCGTGATTTTCTCATCTGATAAAGATCACAGAGAAAAAAACGAGATATTTTTAGTATTCTCATTGGCCCATTAAAGTCCCTAGACTCTACAGAAAAATCTGGGTTTTCTTCTAAGCTGCAGACTTTGTCTTTATGATCTGAGCAGCAAGGGAGAAGATTTTCATGATCAATGTGCTACTTTCAATGAGACGCTTCATGTAAATAGTCCTCAGGTAACATGAGGTAACAGAACTGTTAAAGCAATCTGTAAGAGTCATCACAAGAAAAGATTATGTTGTGATAATAATGCGTTGCTACTGGAGATGCCTTCTATAAAATTATAATTTTTAAAGATTTTACTTATTTTGATGACGTCATGGCCAACAGCTCAGACAGAATACATTTGGTTAGTCTGTAACCTTTCACCTTTCATCCTTCCAAGTAAACCTTTGAAATGGAAATCTGTTTTGTATAGAACTGCTGCTACATAATCACTCCTCTGCGGTTCTGGCGGTTTCCTAATAACATTCAGCTTACCGTGTCTTCACTCTCACAGATATGTTCACCAGGATGTTAAAGCTGAGGCTCCTCAATGCCGTAGCGCCGGCCTACTTCTTCGTGGCCACGGCAGTCACCTTCATTTTACACTTCTGCTTCTTCATCCCGACGATCTTCTCCAACCCGCACGCATCGCTGAGCTCGTCTACAGCTCTGCACACACTTGTTTTCCTTTTCTTGATGTTCAACGCGTTGGGGAACTACATCATGACCATTAAATATCCCGCCGAGAGCGCCAATGAGACCGTGGTCCCGGTGTGTTCGGCGCACTGCTCGGACAAAGTGGACGCGCACTACCTCCTCAACGGCCGCCACTTCTGCAAACTGTGTAAGAAAGTCATCCTCAAGCGGGACCACCACTGCTTTTTTACCGGGAACTGCATCGGTAACAAAAACATGCGCTACTTCATCATGTTCTGCATCTACACATCGTGCACCTGTTTGTACTCGTTGGTTCTTGGCGTGGCCTTTCTAACAGTGGAGTACTCCCTCTCCTTTGAGAACCCGCTGACCTTCCTCACTCTTCTCCCGCTCTCCACCGGTTACTTCTTCACAGGTGACTGGTTTGATTATTCCAACCAAAGCAAATAATTCCAGATTTAAATTGACTTAATTCTTAATCCCCCCCTCCCCCCCACACACAGGAACAATCTCGGGCCTGCAGTTGTTCCTGGTGCTGATGCTCTATGTGTGGCTGGGCATCGGCCTGGTCTGCGCGGGCTTCTGTTGCCAGCAGGTGCTGCTGGTGGCCCGGGGACGGACCTGGTGTCAGATGCAGAGGGGCCAGCTCGTGGACAACCGCAGCCCTTGGAGAAGCAACCTCAAGGATGTGTTCGGTACCCGCTGGATCCTCGGCCTCATCCTGCCCGTGCAGACAGCGGAGACGGGCTCTGAAGACCCAGATGCACATAAGCAAGACTGAGCGAAAGCCATGTCGTCAAACAGCTTCCCGTAGGTCACAGAAGTGGCACTAGCTGTAGCAAAAGGCTTTCCTTGTGATCTGTGTGGTGATTGATTTGACATGCGAAATGGATGCATTATGACTTTGGCAGTAGTTTATGAATTAATTAGCCGGTGGCATTCATTACTTTAAGGACAAGAGCCATGTATCGATGTGAAACTTTTGAATAGGTGCATAGCGTAAGTAAGTAGCTTTTGATAAGGCAATAGAAAGAGTAAGAAGTTGGTTGTCTGGGACCTCCAGCAGTTTTTCATGCATCAACATATAAAGACGGCTTTGCATAAGTGCATGCATTCCCAGCTTCATTTTTATATATTGCGTTATTGATTTAAAGGCCTGCACCAGTTGGTGCTTTGAGATTACCAACCAAGTGTGTTGCTCCTTGTGGGCTGCAACAATGTGACATTCAGGAAACTTGGGGTAGTTTTCACAACAATAATCTTCTTTTACATTAAGGGCTAGGAGGCAATGCATGGGGTCTATAGCATAAACTGCCAGGCTTTACACCATTGTTCTGACATTAAACTGTCACATGTTGAGACTGATTTTTACTCAAATGTGCGGCTATCTGCTCCTCGGTGAAAATGGGTTGGGGAAAGACGAAAGATTACCATATGATTATTTCCAGGGTATTATTCACAATGTGCCATAAACATGTCTTATACGCTTACAGATGACCCCGAAGACGATGTATTCAATACACTGCTAATAATAGGGTCTTCTGTTTAATAAGAATAAGAAGAAGTTTCACTGTAATGCTGCTGCTACAGCTACTGACGTATTCAACATCATGTTGAAGCTGTTTTGGATTTCAATAAATATACTTTTTAGAGCTATTTTGTCTATTCCTGTTATACCAATAAAAGTATTAGATCTTAACAAGCAGATGTTGTGTGTTTTTAACGCTCATTCTGATGGAGGAAGGAAAGTGAACTAAACAACAGCAAAGAGTCTTTAAACAGAGTTTTATGACAGGCGTTTGTTAGTTAGTCACATTTAGTAAAGAAATACCACAGAAAACATTCTTTTACAATAATACAAAAGTCTAAAATATTCTTTGTAACCCTCTTTCTGCCCTTTTACAACTAAGGATAGTTTGATTATTTGTTTATAATTCCTTGGGGTTAGAAATGATTACTGCAGCATATGTTTTTGTTTAACACAATACACTAGTTAACCTCAATTTAACATTAAGTCACAAAACTGAAACATTAATGACTTAACTGGTTTTCATGCTCTTCTTTCCACGTTAACTTTGGACCACCCAGCCAGGACATGGTGTGTTTTGTTTCAGATAAGAATGTAAAATCTTTGGAAAACCTTTAATACATTCAATCTTCCTCTTCACGTGACGTTTACAGTCTAAGCTGCTCAACCATCGAATGCAACAAAATGAGCATTTTCAAAAAGGCACAAGCATCCGAATAAACATGTGTACTCACATTGGTTCATCAGACATCATTTTCATCTCACAAAAGAAGCTGTGACATTTGTCTGAAAAAGTTGTCAGCCTTCTTACTAAAGTGCAAGTGTCTGAAATATAAAACAATTTAGTTGTATTTTCCTCGCAGCATTTCACTTGCTGCAGTCTAAGTTAAGTAGTTAAAAGATAAACTTGCCTTACCAGAGAGCTGGCAAACCCCTTATAATGTGCTTGGGTTGATTCATACAGCTTTAATCTTGGTAACTTGAGTAACAAAACCACACTATGTTTTGGCCAACAATCTGATCTCTCCGAGGCACCAGGCTGTATATGTACTTCAATATGTAAGCGTTCTTCTTAACTTCCCCTTGGTTTTAATCTCTTCATCTGCTTTTTATCAGGCCAGCTGTCCTGACTGTTTCGATGCTTCGCACTGTCCTGCTATTGTACCCAGACTACTTTGCACCAAGACAGCTTCAGTCGCATGGATTTGCGATGTACATTTCACCGTTCAATAAATCACCTTGTGGCCCTCTGATCGAGAGCCGCCCGTCGCGTCCACCGCTGTCTCACACCGGGACTCTCTGAGCTTTGGCTCCGCGTTGCTCCCTGTCCGCGTGCTGCAGAGAGAGCTGCAGCTTGGTCCAGAGACGCGGGTCTCCGCTGCTCTGAGCCTCCAGCAGCAGAACCGTTTGCTCCCGCAGCTCCCTCAGCTGGCCCTGTGTGCGCTTATTCTCCTTGATCAGCTGCTTGGTGCGCAAGGTGATCCCCAGCAGGCCCCGACTTGTTAAGAACGTTGTAGGTGTTACTGAAACGTTTCAGTTTGTTGACGTCCATTGAGAAAGCGTCGTCCTGGTCGCCGTCCATCCCCGTAGCCGTCGACGTTTCTCGGGGGCTCGTCCGCGTCATCGGGCAGCGCGGAGTTACCGCCTTGAACCCCGGCCGCCTGCGACCGGTCGTCGCCCGCCGCAGAGTCTGAGACGGATTGGATTCCGGTCTGCAGCGCCGGCTGCAGGCTGGGAGAGCTGTGGAGCCTGTGGCCGCGAGGATGCCTCTTGTGTCGCTGGTCATGTCCCGGTGTGGAACTCAACCTCACCTTGGAGGATCCCGCCCTCTTAGTGGGCACGTCTGATTGGTGTGGGGCGATTTTGGGATACGACTTAAGGATGGGAACGTAGCTTTTTGATTTGGGGGTACTTTCAGAACCGGTGCTCGAGGAGCTGCTGCTACTATTTGATACCACGGTTTGGAGGAGAACCATCTGTGACTGGGGGAGAACGTCCAAGGGTGAAGGAAAGCCCCAATGTTTTTTTGAGGGGGACATCGGGGATGGCTAGAGGACAAAGACATATTACAATATGTCATCGTACAAAACAGATTTTGCAGTAGATAGGATAGTATAAGATATATAATAGTTGAACAACAATGTACACAAATACATCTAAGTCGAGCGTATTTTACCTGCTTCAATACAAAGTTGTTCATGATGATCATTGGCGACAGTCCAGCATATGAGCCTCTCATCACAGCAACCGGGTCGTGGCCAACTATGAACCCATTTCCTCCTGCACCTTCAGAGTCCGTCCGATCGACTGCACCGAGGTGCTCAGAGCTGGCATCTGAGGACAGGGCGATAAGGACACGGTTTATGGGAGTACGGTTTTTATCTCTCTGATGTGCACAGACCCTGGGGCTGAACATGGTGCGCTATGAAAACCGAGGCAGATGTAGATAAGCCCTTCCAGAGTCCGGAAAAACGAAACCGTCAACATGAGGAAGAGGGCTTAACCACATCCAGGTCAGCGTTATTGGTGTATAGAGTTATAGTCATAAGACAAATTGACCCAACACAGGATACCCTACATAGCAAATGTGACCTAGATCTACTAATTTGATTAAGGCTGACCACGTTGCTAGTCATTTATTTCTAATTATGGAAATCATAATTATATACATGTTATATACCCATATTATATATAGGAAGTTAATTGAATCACACCTGAGAAGCCAGAATCTCTCTCCAGGTCAGACTTTGATGCTCCATAGTATTGTGCTGCCTTGTGTCTGTCCGCTCTACTAAAGCTGCTCATGTTGGCCCTGTGAAAACACAGTTTAAGAGGAGTTAAGAGGTGACCGAACGTCATCAATGCGCCTTAGTCACGGTTATGTCATTTTAAAGACAAGACATTTTGTTGGTTAAGCAGCAAGCAGACTGCGATTGAGACTGAAAGGAATGGATAAATACAATCACTCCATTACTTTTTATTGTTTGTTTTTTTTACTTTAACTTCAGAATTAGACGAGAAGAGAACAACTTCAAATAGGATTTTGTATTTTTGCATGAAACAATAAATATGCAGCACCTTGATACAAGATTAGCGATATTATAACACAGGTTGTGTGCATTTATTGAAGAGGCCTGTACCCCCCACACAGCCATAGCAGTCTTGTACTTCTGTCAGACAGGCTTTTGAACCTTTACCGACGCTGCTGAACGTGTGTTGACAAATAAAAAATGTTGATGCCATTATTAAATATGACAAGCTGGAAATTCTTTGTCTATTCACTGGATACCGTCCTGCCCCTGCGTTGCTAACGTTAGCTCAAGCTCGCTAGCTAAGTAACGCTAGCTAGCGAGCTAGGTAACGCTAGCTGGCGAGCAAGCTAGCTTCCTTTAGCTTCAGCTTGGCAACCAGCCCAACATGAGACCGTCGGTGAGGTGTTTGGCTAAAGGTCTGAGCTTACACACCTTACACACCTTAACAATACGCGCTTTTCTTGAAAACAAATATCCGTTAATAGCATCCACGCTCAGCTACAACGTTAGCGTGTTTTCACACAGTTGCACTCGAGTCAGCTTCTTTAGCTTCTTCTACCCGTACTGAGGGTTGGAGACCGCTGGCTTCATTACTGCTGCGTTGCTGCCGTCTTCCGGCCTTAATACCATGGTTCAATATTGTCAGATAAATAAACATCTTCTCCTGCAGTCATATGCGGTGACTAAACGGGACAATATATATGTATATAAGTATAATAGAGAGATATTGTGCAAGCAGTTCTGCTCTATGAGTTTGAAATTTAAGCTAAGCTGCAAATTATTTGTGATAAAATGCATTGAAATTCTGCAGGTGTCACATTGGATAAATATGGCCTGACATTACCAGCATAAGCAGTAAATAACAATTACACATAGCTGAAGGCAGTGTTCACACCAAATGTTACAGGAGCAACTAGAACAAAGGGAATGTTTTTTCTACTTTTAGTATAACAAGTTACACCACAAAGAACAGCGGTGCTCTTGCGTGAAGTTTTACAGGTCTACTTAAATTAATAGAATACTGTGCCTTTGTTGACAAATTAGAACCCTTTTCAATATTTATCATCATTATACACCATTTTGGTGTATGTGATGTTTCTGACTCCTTATTACCACAACATCTCTGCCGACAGAGAGGACATGAACGGCATGGCTCAACACAACAGGGGTTCTTCTTTTGGGGGTCGTAATGAAATAAATCACACAAGACAATGACAATCGTAACAATTTAATAACAAATAAATATCTAAATGAAATAAAAAATACTAACACAGTAGAAATGTTACTTTGTACATTTTGATTTTTCTTGTGTAGTACATGAAAAAACCCACAAAAGTACAGAATTTTACATAATTACTTCAACTCATCCCGTCCGATGGCACACTAAGAAAGAGACCTGTGCTCTTGAGTGAGAAACTTGTAATCACAGTAAAAAAAGATGACAATTTATAAAAAGAAATTCTACTGCTTAATCGTATGTGTGACTGTAGTATTGATCTGCCTGTTGTGGGGCTTGTCATGGCCATTCTTCAGCCTACAACACACTTTCTGGTGTGATTGGAGATCAACTGATCTGATGGGATCCAACTCTACAAAACAATAGAGAAACAGATAGATTTCAAACTAAAATTTAGACTTTTAAAAATGTGATACACCATATTCATCTTTTCATAAACATCTTAAGTTGATCAACATTGTTGTTCTTGTTCTTGAAAGTAAACACTTTATAGTCATGCCAGGTCACATGGCGCTACAGAGGGAAAGTTACCTCCATAATATAAATAGTAGAAGCATCCAATAGGCTGGTGAAGTGATTGTGACGTACAATACTGTCCTATAGTCTAAAAAAAGGCTAAAAAAATACATTATTATAGAGCAGTTTTAAACACTAGAGGGAGACATTTAATTGTTGCATGTGCAAAGCAGCTGCACACTCAGTCCAACGTTCGTTGCTGTGACAAGTCAAGTTGTCTTTGATAATGTTTGAATAAAAAAAAGCAAAGACACACTTTTTAAAGGTTAAAGGTCCATTTATAAGCGCGCGGGCGACAGGTGCGTTCAGCTGTATCAATAAATATAGATTAAAAAATGTGTAACCATCTTTAAATACCAAATTAGAATAACTGATACAGTAATAACCGATAGAAATGAGAAGGCGTCGCGTCTGTTTGGTTCGACATTGCACTGGCTCCCAGGGACGTCCGTTGTGTCAGGGGTCACAGACAGTGTTTCCACCTCATCAAAGCACACTTCTGCTCGAAGCTCGTCATTTACGAACGCTCTGCCCGTCAGCGGGTGGAGGTCACGTCAGCACAACAGCCCCGGCTCTTTGAGTCTCTGGATACAGACACGGAGGAGACTCTGGATGCTGCCACTGTGGTTGGAAATAAATAGCGAGCCACACTGCAAACGGGGCGGGGGGGGGGGGGGGGGGGGGAATAAGGGGGCGGGGGGGTTTGACCGCCGCTGCAGTTACCGGCGTGGGTTCTGGCAGCTGAAGAAAAAGAAAGACAAATGGGTTTTTATTGTTGTTAACTGCTGGTTGGAGGTGAATGTCTCACACTTGAGGTTGCGTCATCACCTGTCACATTCTTTCGTTTTCTGTTTCTCCTTCCTCTTTCTTCCTCTTCCTCTTTGCCTTCTCCTACAAGAGGAACAAAGTTACCAAAAACGCCCCTTCATTCTCTTAAGTGGGACATTCATTTCCACAAAAAACAGATGTTATGGAAATAAATTAATGTATGTTCTTACCTTTCAACACTCACAATAGGTTTCCTGACTCTGAAGAACAAAGCAATACATTAGTTTGAGAAAAAGAAATGTAACTCAGTTTTCAGTTACTACTCTACTGCTGATGTGTATTTCTAGTATATGAAGGTGATTTACAAGTGGACACTGTTTGAAAAACGCAAGAAAATGTCATGGCACAAATTATGACTTGTTTTCTTACCTACATTCACATGTCTGATGCTCCACAAACGTCATCTCAACATATTCCTGACCCGGCTCTGATGGCCTGATTTTCAACAGCTGAGGGATGAAACCATGTTGCAATTTAAGCAAATAAAAAAACGTACAATTTATAAATGAAGTCCACTTAACAACACCAGTTGTATTGCACGAAGCCTTTGTCGCACCTGCATGGTGACGTTTGTGGTGCGAGTGGGGTGGCACTCCAGATTTTCGTCCCCGCAGCAACCCGCACACCTCACCAGCGGCACACAGGCGGGGCTGTAGATGTGCTCCACCTCCGACGGGTACTCCTGCACCACCTCCACGAGCTTCTCGATGGTCCGGCAGAAGCTGCGACCCCACACTTCTTGGAACATCAACACTGGGAGGAGAGGAGGATGGCTATGGGTGAGTCACCTTTTTTCTTATGTTCAAAGTGCAGCGTGACATCGACGTCCGAGGTTACAAGTGACCAAAAAAAGGAAAATCTGTTTGTACTGGTTGAGTTTGAATTGAACTGCAGTGGTTGAGATCACACACAAACAGCCTGTGTAATTACCTCAATAAGCCAAACAGCGGCCACCTCATACCATGTACACAGAAACATGAAACCAGTCGCAATGCGCCCGTGTGTATCCTGTTTTCATTTCGAAGTAAAAATGTTTGTGTAATGTACAGTGCGCTTTCCTGTGGGAGCAAATGCGTGAAAGTGTCCCAGTTGCGCAGTCCGCGGGGGGAGGAACAGGGAAGACTACGTCCGAACAAACAGAGGGGGGAAGAGAAAACAAACATTGGAAACACGGCCACGAACAGGACCCGGCCGGCGCTGGAGCCGAGCCGCCCCGGGGACCTCGGGGGACCACCGTGACCCCCGGGGTCACCCAGTGGAGCCTCACAGCACAACAACTGTTTATAAAAGCAGACAGGCGGGGAGGATGACGGGTGGGGAAGCGTCTTCGGGAGAGAGACGAGGCCACAAACTACACTGTTAAACAGTGCAAAGGGCCAGTTCACTGGACAGTTACAGCTCCTACCTGAGGTTCAATGATCCCGGCTACCTGACATGAACTGCTACTGGCAAAATTCAGATAAAGACTGGAGAACTGTTTTTTGCTTCAGCTGAAAATAAATGATTTGGTTTGCATCAAACTATTTTTAGAACTCTTGAAACTACACCTCCACTGCTCAGAGAAGATTTCATGAATTAAAAAAAAAAGCAAAAATTCTTACCTTCAGTTGTGTTGCTTTTGCTCGACAGGGGAAGACTCTGTGAAGCAAAAAAATAAGTTTGTTATTCATTCAGGTTTCTTGCGACTTCATGGCGCAAACTGTAAAACTGCACACTTTTTAAACTTGAAAAAAAATGAAAAAAATATACAAGATGTCCAGGACATAAAGACAGCTGCGACACTGCAGTGGTACCAACATTAAGTGCGTTCATACTCCGCTGGTGATGGCTGGAACTGCTGGAACTGCAGGAAATTAAGCCAACGATCAGACACCTTTTTGCCCCCCGGCAGTGGAAAAGTCTCTCTGACAGGCAGCAGGTCCCGTCTCCCTTATACATGTTTAGATTCAAAACCTGTTTCCTGTGGTTTAAGATTCAGCTCTTTATTTATTTTCCCTCTCCGTCCTGGTTTTTTTTTCCCATCATCCCACGATAAACACGGTGCATTTCTCATTCGCCTGGGAAATCACAAAACCTCTAGTTGACTCCATTTCAGGAAGGGAAATCCACGTTTGATAAAACACCCTCCGGCAGAAGAGCCGAACCAGCGGCAGACACCCTGCCTCTGCACTCCCTCCACATAACCGGTGCTGCGTTTCAGCTTTTGTGTAACACACACAAACACACAACATTTATTCTGTCTGTGAACGTGAGACAGACAGTGAGACTGAAAGGGTTGGACTGCAGACAGATATTCCCAAATGATGCAAGTATGGAATGTTGTTTTTTACACCATCTGTCGGTTGCTAAAATGCATCTACTTCCTGTTAAGGACCAAATTTATTTTGAGGGGGAAGATAGCATTTATTTTCTCTACTGTGATTAAAGAGGCATGTCCTGCTTTGATGATGATGATGCATCCATGTACAACTGTCACTGAGATAAGTGGCGGAGAGGTTTCCATGTATTTGGGACAGATCTGTCTGTGCAACAGAACGTGCTGTACACTGACTTCATATCAATAGACGCACAAGAGCTCCCAGTCAACCACTTAGGAGGTTTGGCCCTCCCAGTGTTAGGGGATCTGTTCAGGCATCTCCCCACTTTAAAAAAATGTTTTTTTCTAAAGTGGCGGGTGATCTGGCCAAAGTGTACAGCTGTTGCTCAGTCACAACAGCTGTTCTACAGAGTGGTGCTCATTGAACTGTGCTGGCTTCACAACAGCACCACAGGACAGACGTTTGGCTGGCAGCTCCAATCGCAGCACCGTAACGTCACAATTCAGTTTAGGTTTTTGTTTAAAAGTTGTTTTGAAAACTTCCATTCTCTGGGGTATTTTTTTTCAGCATGTCTAGCAAGCTTGTAAAAATAATTGGCGTATGATCTGCACTTCTTTCTGTTGCTGCTCCACATCACAAGGGCTTTTTGGCTCCGGCCCCTCGGTTGACGTTCAGAATGCGGTGAGAGTTTTCTGACCTTGGTCATGGGTTAAGCCTTGACATGCCGAGCAATCATCTTTAGCACCTCCTGTGGTTGAGAACAGAGGAGTGAGCTTTCCACAAGAAGCTGGCAGATTGTGAAAGGCGGCATGAAGATCCTCACGTAGACATTCCTACCTCCTTGTGCACTTGTGGTAATACTGTGTGATTAACGGTGACTGGGGAAGTAACTGTGTTCTGCTGGGAAGGGAGCACCGCTTAACACCCGGTGTACAAACTTGTCAAAAGGTGCATTACAAAACTACATACAAAAATAATCCACCGTCCATTTACAGTGAAAAACAGAGAGAGGAAAGAGGACGAGATGTGTGAGGGATATGGCTCCTGGGTTAAAAACAGGGTGCCCATTGTGGTCACTTTCCCAAGTTATTTCCAGCTCTTGACTTCTCAGAGACCTTTCGCAGTTGAGCTCGAGCCTTTGACCGTTACAGTGTGAGTTTGAACCGAAGATTGAGACATCCACAGAACGTGGCCCTGAAGGCTCTCACGTGATTCCCAAAGACCTCAAGCAAAAGTTTGTAAGCTGCCGGCTGGTAGTTTGCTGCGTCCTCTGGGCCGGATCAGAGGGCCCGTTGGCTCCCCGGGGCTCCTGCCGTCAGGCCGCAGAAGCCCCGGGCCTCATTACGCTCCACTCCCACCCAGCTGAACTGTGTCATCTTTAACCTCTTTGCTAAACTCCATCTGTCAGAGAAAGGGCCGCATGTGCAGGGGAGCGAAAACAAAACATGATGGGGACCCTGCGTAATGGTCATCAAATATTTCTCAACTTTGAGGGTCAAGATGGGGAGGGAGGGAGCGTGGGCTGTTCCACAGTAGGTACTATGGCCACCAGCCAGCAATATGCTATTGTACGTTGTGTTTCCCAATAAGAGAAATGGACACGACTTACTGATGAGGTGAAGCAATGAAAATCAATTGCCGATTAGGAGTCTTTGCCAGTTCAGTATTAACAGATTGGACAACTTTCCACTGGACTGGAAAATGAGGTAGAACTGTATTGAATATACAAATATTTAAAATGAGAGCCCAGCGATAGTGAAAAAAACATACATTTCAGTTTGAAATGTAAGCTTATAGTTTGTGTTTTTAATTCATCATTAATGAATTTTTTAGAATTAGCTCACAGCTTGTTTGGTCGAGAATGACGGGCTTGTTTGATCACATCTTTTTTGACCCAATGCCATAACGTTTTGAGTTTTCTTTCTTTCTTTTTGATAAAGGCTGTCCGGCCTTGAAGCAGCTTCTATAAAAACATATTCATATTTGGTGAAGTTTAAAGTGGACTTCAGTTCCAAATCCTCATTATAAAAAGACAAGAAATAAACCCATGGATGTAATTATTACCTCTTTGCACACAAATACTGTCTTAAGTAATAAAGGGTGTGAACCGATGCTACCAAAGCCAGTAAAGAACCTGCACGCTGAGCGCATGTAGGTCGGGAGGAGCCGCGTCCTGGTTTTGGCCTGACTGAAGCTCGACTCTGCATACGAGACCACACAGGGCCGAGACCGCTAAAGCAGAACAAGTGAACACAAACAGAGACGGCCAGACGACTGAGAAACGGAGCTCCCTCCCTGCCTCGCTGAGCGTCATCATCCATCCTTTATGGAGACCCGGATTCCACATCATCAACACCATGACCGGGAGATTTATTCTCAGGCCTGTGGCCTGCAGGTCTCTGCACCCGTTGTCAGCCAAAAGTAAGCAGGTTCTGTTTTGTATACACGATATGGGCGAACCAACAATGACAGCGGTGCCATTGCAGGCCTGAGAGTATTCAGCGGGGCAACCGTGGTGGTCAGGTGACGCCTTTTGATCGACGAGCACTGCCAAAACACCACCGAGCTTCAAATGCATCAACGTGCCATCGGCTGTTCTGTAACCTGAGTGAATGGGGCCTTTGAACTATCGTCATTATATAGTCACACCGATTCTGGGAGCCGTTAGTTCTTCAAGTCTCAGCTGGTTTCCCGACCTCACTGTGACGTCATGCCTCCAGGAAGAAACCAGAAAGTACTTGCCGTTATACTACAGTCTTTGTACAGATTACAAGTTAGTCTTTGTGCTAACTTTCTCTTTGCTTAAGCTCATTTAATGCGGTATCAATATTTTCATCTACTTCTCAGGATGAAGGCAAATATGCATATTCCCTGAAAGGCTAAACAATTTATCTAAGATTGCTGCTTACACAAAGAAAATCATCATGTTTGATATAACGATGCTGAGGCCTTCTTCGAGTTTGCAAAGATTACAAGCGGTCATGGTTTCTTGGAGTAGTTGTCTAATTTTGGAAGAAAACAACAACAGTAAAACGGCATCAAGCTAACAAATGTAGATTTAGATAAACATCATTTCCTCAGCACAAGTCCATTAATTCATGTGCAAATGTCCCCCCTTAAAGACACACACAAACACACACAACCACTGTGTAAACCATGGACTCTATCTGCAAACACACACACGACACAGGTCTTGAGATAAGGCTGACCGGTGGTAATTGTGGTCTCTATTACAGTAAACGCTTTTCTCCCTGTGTAAACCACAGTAAATTACATCCAGATGGGAGATTAAAGCTGAGTAGACGGCTGCCCCGAGCGCCACCGCTCCTCCTCCTCCTCCTCCTCTGCAGGAGGAAGGAGAAATCCATATTTCCTGATTGCGATTGCGGCCCTCCCTTGGGCCGGGACATTACAACTGGAGAAAAATACCACAAGAGCGCAAATGGGAGCTGTATCAGTCGGCAGGTCGTTGCCACTGCGCAGCGCAGCCTGCACACATCTGGACTGCAAAAGGTGAACAAGCGTGTGTGCGTGAGAGAGGCCGAGGACACAGAGGCGTGTTTCGTCTTTGATTGTTGATAACTTTGATTTCCGAGGAACTGAAACACAACTGATGTTTTCGGGTTGACGTGTTAGGAAACCTTCCGCTGACGAAATTGTATCGCGACACCTGGAAACGTGACGTCGTGCCGTCGGTTCTCACCGAGGGGGAGAAATACACACCGTGCACACAAACACGGCACATGTGTGAGCGACGCAGATGGTCTGACTCAAGTATTGTTTTGCTGCCGGTGATGACGTGAAGGAAACACCTGTGTAACGTCATGTCCTCACACACGGAGAGCAGAGGCTTCAGGAACAAGCTGCACCGGGGAAGTGACGAGTCTGAGAAGTTATAGCCAAGAAGTGGTTCCTTTAATGAGCTGTATTTTGAAATGGAAACAAACAAAATTCTTCCATAATATTAATTCTTTGTTTCCATCTCACACAGACTTTTCTTAGAATGGGAGTATGTTGATTATTTCACCTCTCAACTACAAGGCCTACAAAAAGCTTAGTACTGCTCATTACTATGACAGTAAAATGAGATATTAACTGCTTGATCGCATTTTTATAAAATGGGGGAAAGTGTGATTTAAACACACACACACACACACACACAAATACTGTGCATACAGTGTGTGTTCTATATATTCCCACTACCAATAATACACCGAACAGGAGAACGGAGGGTGTGTTGTAACAAATTAACTGCGTTGGTGATTAAGTGACCAGAGGGGCCACCGTGGTTCGGGGGGAGACCCAGGTGCTTCCACTCTATTCGGAGCCATGTGGGACCAGGACCATTTTTAAAAGAATGAATCTCATCTCATAGCAAACGCAGCAGACTTGAAATCACAGGAATGGGGACGAGGTGAATTGTATCTCTTGAATCAGCAATGGCGTTTCTTTTACGAAAGGTAACTAACTAACTGCCAGCAAGTGTTTATTATTTAGTATGAGTACAATCATTTCAACATTTGCTGGTCTTTACTTTTGGTTCCACGTTGCCACAATCTACTGACAAATACGGACCAAGGATTCTATCAAATAAGCCGGCACTGTTCTATTGAAGTGGTCACAAGCCAAAAAGAGTTGGACTACTGCAACAATTCTGAACATACAACGTCTGTTTGAAGCACATTCAAATGACAGACCTAAAAACGACTGTATGTGTGTACCACACACACACACACACACACACTGGGCTATTCCGTAAAGCGCTGTTGATAAAGCCGAGGCAATAAGCACAAGATGTTAACCACACCCGCTCTCTTGGCCGCTCTTAGCGGACACCAGTGACGCCACGAGTCACGAGGCCGCCAACGGCAGCTCCAGCTGCGACTGCAGTGAGAAATACTCATTATGAACCACTGACACATATCCGTTGGTGGAGAATCCCAAAGAGAAATATTTATAAATTACGGTCCCAAGCATATGTCAATGTCTGCTTTTCCACTTTGGTGAGCCAGACCGCTTATTGTGGGGCGGCTGGCAGGACGGACACGTACCAGAATAGTCTCATATCACCACTGTGACTTTAAAGGAGCGAGAAAAAGTGTCGCTTGTCTGGAAAAACAAATTGAAAAATGTGGGTCTTTGGGTCCAACTTTGCACTTAAACAGGAAAGCAAAGCAAATGTTCCCTTTGAAGCTAATCTTTCTACATTAGCAAATAATGAATGGCAGATGGAGGGGTAGAGAAAGACTTAGATTCAAGAGGCTTAGCAGTCAATCTACAGCAGACAAGTTGTTGAATCTCAACAAGCATTGAATGGGCAGCGGGTGTTCATTTAACCTGCTTCCATTTGAGGTCCCTGGATACTGTCACTCCTATTTTGACCGATCGGGCCATGAGCTGATTATGAGGATTAGTGGAGTTGTGGTGATCCCATGCCTCTCCCACTCATGCTCAATTCTGCAACAGCTGCAAAGTGTCCGGCTATGGAATCTGCTGAGGACACGGCGCTTCTTTTTTCAAACCTTGAGAGGCTGACTTTGCCAGTGTAAAATAAAATGTCTAGACCAGCAACCTTGCAAACGGGAATCTAAAACAGTGTTACTCAGTTCAACAGGCGGCAGCAGTGTATGAAGTGTGACAGATGCACTGAAAGGACACAACAATGGCCCGGTTTGCATTAAACATGAGACGCGTCAGAGATAGCTGCCAGCCGTCGGCCACCTTGGGACAAAATCAGAAACTGAATGGGTCCAAGGGCCCGTGCACAAATTGGCACAATGCCCGCTGTCCAACGACACATCCTCTAACAAGTGTTTCTGGCCTTTGAATAGGATTCACTCCGGTTTCAGCTGTGTCCTGTTCTGGCACATTTTCATTTTAATACTAAGGCAATGCCAGGCAACAGAGAACAGAACATCTTTGTCCTGCAGTAAGCCGCCGCCAGCCTGACAGTGATACGACTGGCCTGAAATTAAGGTTCAATAGATTTTTTTCTGCACACATTCATTGACCTTTATCAGCTTGATTATCCACACTGCACACACGACAATAAACATGCACTTCATATGGGGGGTGAAACAAAACAGTAAGGAAAAGCTGAAAAGAAGAAAAACTTCCAACTTTTACCAATTTTAACTCATACGCTGCATCCCTTTGAGAGGCTAAGCAGCGTCAGACTCACACGGATCTGGTGAAACTATAGGTTTTAACATTAAAATAGACACCAGGGTTGCTTATTTAAGGGATTTCTCACCAACGTGGGAATGTGGGTGAGTGTTTTCTGATGGAAACCTACACTGCCAAAAAAAAGAAGAAAAGAGAAATACCTCACACAGGAGCGGTGTCTGTGATGTATCCGTAATTACAGTGTAAGTAAGCTCAGAGGTGTGTGCCAAAAGTAAGTTCTTTGCATGTTTCACATGTTGTCAAGTTTCATTTTATGAATGAACCCAACAGAATGGGACGAAGGTGTCAAAGCACAACGGATTATTATCACCTCATCTGGCTTCTGCTGACTCAACCATTTTCTATTCCACTTACAGTTTGAGACACAGCTGCATGACCATAAAGCCTATCCATCCAAAAATATCCACTTAAAAAAAACATATTATATCAAAATCACGACTTAGTCATTTTTAAATAGGCTATTGCAGCCCCCCCCCCTCCCCAAATCCAACTTTTGTACAAAGCCTGCGTGATCAATGGTAGCGTGAGTGAAAAACGACAGAAGGTGCCGTCGCGCGCGGAGCATCACGTCTTACCTGCGCAGGTGAGAGCAGCAGGAAAAGCGCCACCGCAGCCTGGATGACGAGACCGAGTTTCATTTCGCGCTGGCTGCGGGCGGAGAGGAGGCGATGGTTCACGGCGTGCACAATAAAACAATCCAACCAAAGTGCCAAACTACTCAGAAAAGGAAAGGAGATGCTGACCGGGAATTTCCGAGTCATCCGCCCCCCCGACACCCCCCCCCCCCCCTCCACACACACACCCCCTCGGTTCAGCAATGAGTTCAGTCACGTAGCTCCGCTCGCCGCATGTAACCTGATGTGAGGTGGATTGTGCTGACAGAGGACCCGGGGACCAACTGCAGGGTGCTGGGGGGATCCCAAAAAAAAGATAATGAAACAAAAGTTAAAAAATTGTGCCGAGTGTAAATAATGGAAGAAAAAACAATATGTTGCCTGTCCAAAAAGGTGACTCTGCGTTCCATGTGGCGGTTTGCACCGAGGGTTTCAGTCCTGCGCGGGGACTGCGCTGTGCTTCTAATTGCCACCACACCACCTTTACACCAGCTGGCCATCCAAATCCCCGCCCCTTCTCCGTCCTCCTCTTTGCTCTGCCTCATCCGTCCTCACGCAGCTCACTGGCCCTTTAAGCAAGGCAGCGCGTAATGGACACTTGTGTGATGCTGTACTGAGACCGGCGCTCTGCTGCGGATGCTTTATTTCTGAATGGTAGACTATACACCACAGGTGATTTACAGAGTATATACAGACGGGCTGAGAAGCTCCTGCCGAGGACTCTCTGTGAGAGCTATCCAAGTCCAGGTAAACATTGAAGAGATTCTTTGCAGCGGGGACATGGGTGGTATCCTCAGCGCTGTCTCTGGCTGCAGGATTCACAGAGATTTCCCTCTGAGGCTTCGGCGTTCGCAGAGACAGAACGGGAGATTCCATTACAGTCGACACACAGTGTGAGGGTTTGAGTGTTTGGAGAAAACCTGAACCAAGAGATTCCTCGTGGGCTTCCACACATTCCTTCTACAGCGTCGAATAGCTCCACTGCGTCCCCCCCCACCCTTCCACTGCCAACGTCCCAGATTGAGCATCAGCCAGGGCAAACAGTCATGGATTGTGAAAGAAACGTCCTCTCATTATACTGGGCAGTGTCACAGTAGTCCTTTTCCTAAATTGCATCTTTATATGGCAACGATGGAGGCTCTCCTAAACTCAAGGAGAGGGCAGAATGGAAACAAGAAAACATGACTGTCTGTCTGTCCACCTCATGGCAGACAGAACAAGTAGCCCAGAACCCTAAGAAATGACATGAATACATCAACTTCAAGCAAAAGTTAGACTGTGCCGATGATTTTGTTGTTAAATATTTTGAATTGAAAAGCTTAAAACCATTCCTTCGTCTTGGCTCTGCCTGCAGCAGTAGACCTGACTGTTTGCTCAGAGGACAGAGACAGAGTCCTCTTGTAAGTCCCACCATCTGTCCGGTGATCTATCTGTGTTTTTAAAGGTACACAAATGGATGCGGTCTAATAAGATCACTGAAGTTGTTTTCAGTATAAATACACACTGACAAGACAAGCAAACTGGGCTTGAGTGATGGTGTTTTTCCAGCAGGAGATGGATCGCTGGTCTTGTTAGATGGTGAAACAACCTTGAGGCTCTCATTTGCTTTCGCTAAAACCACGAGGTAAGTAGTCGTATCCATTCTGAAGATGTATTCAATTAAGATATTTCCCATTTACATTATGACGCTTCAATATTATTCAGTTCTGAAGGAGAAATATGCTTCTGTTTCCAATACTGTGGACAGATGTGCTTGTTATGATCAGGGGAAGAAAAGAAAACATATTTCGTCCTGAATAGGAAGAATGTTTAAAGAGCTTTTCACTGCTCCATAAACGTCAAAATTTCAACTGAACTTTATCGCCATTCTTTTTTTTTTTTTTAATGAGGCTTCATGATCGAAGAAAGGTCATCTGGTTGTTTAAATACGTCTTTTGCAGTCTGTGATGTCTCCTGATGTTGTGAAAACCAAATGGATGCCTCTCAGACACCGGAGTCCCAAAGTAAGCACATTTCCCTCTTGCCGTTGACCCCTCATTTTCCCAGATTGCAGAGTAAAAGGTAAACAGATGAACAACATTAATGATGTCCATTCATCATTGTTGGTGTTGTTTAGTTTCCTCCACAATGGGGCCTTGAAGGGGAAGGTGGGAAGTCAGAGCCCCCCCAACTATGAAGGATCTCACTAACAGTTAAAGCCCTACAGCGTGAGCAAAGTTTCTGATCATCGTCTTTGATTTATAATGTGCCTTAAAAACGTGAATGTTGCTGAATTTAAAACGCTAAGCCAAAAGCAAAGGTACAGTATAAGAAGAGGAGAACCTGCACAACAGGCTTCTGGGAGATGATGTAATGGATTTGACTCCTGTGGGACCACCTGGACCGACGAGCCAAACACAATACAACAATATGTAAGATCCAGACCATTTCTTCCTGTTTTATGTTTTGAATAACCGGTAAGTAGGAAGTTCCCTGAGTAGAAAGCTGTTTACCGTCGCCTGAGCTGATTAGCATTACATCACAACAAGTTATATTGTGTGAAATCCTGTTACTCCACAAAGCTGCATTGACACGTTACACACTGAGCACGTTTTTACTGAGTTTGTCGTCCTGTTTCCGTGCCCATAAATGTGGATGTGTGAGCATTGTTTCATTCGGTAGGAAGTCCGTCAACATGTAAACAGACAATTAGAAGTTATTTTAGTCTGAAGGTACCACCGGTCATCTAATCTATAATACCATCTATCTTCATGCCACTGTGTCAGTTTGCCATAATAACCACAAGATACAAGAGGATCTGTTTCTTGTCCCAATTATAGCAAACTATTTGAGCTTCTATCATTGCTGGACAAAAGCTTTTAAAGTGAGAAATTCGAGCAGAAAAGATGAGAAGATTAATACCACATTTAATATCATGTGTGCTAGCCATGAAGCTATGGCAAGGGGGCGGTTAGCTTAGTGTAGCTTAGCATAAAGGCTGGCAGCAGGGGATGACAGCTAGCATTCTTCAGTCCAGAGATCAAAAACCCCTGAAGCTCAGTAAGTATTATTTTACCTAGTTGAAACAGAAACGCGTCTGACCATGTGCTACGACTACACATACACCTTTTGCTGCTCATACAACTTTAATTCTATTTGTGTGTAGATGAAACAAATGGGACGAGAGGCATCATTTAGTGAGCTTCAGAGGGGCTGATTGTGCTTTGTACTTTAACAAAGAACAGGCTGTTTCCCGGTTCTTTGCTCTTTTTGCTCAGCTTATTGGCTCCTCACGCTGACTATACAGTATACTGCGTAGAATTTACAGTTAGACTGGCTCAAGTTTGGTGAAATAAATGTGTATCATGAACAACGTATCCACTGTAGGCTGTGCCCCCTCCACCCCCCGACTAACTGTGCAGAGGACCTGGAGCGGTGTTCTGAAAGGAAACCGAGTGTTAGTCCGAGATAAAATTTCATCACCTCCACGAGCTGCGGGGAAAAGGGTCTGCGGTCGGTACAGAGGAGGAAAAACAGCACTGAGAGTGAGTTATCACGGCCGGTGTCATTGCCAGTTGTAAAAGCCGTTAGCCTTATAAATGGAGGGCAAGCTGTGCAAACTGCGCGGAAGTGGTCCCGCAGTCAGAGAGCAGGTTATAACTCAGGACTGCAGCGATACTCTAGGCTCCATTAGGAGGTCCCATGTGGCGCACATTCACAAGTTCATGAGTTGATGCGGTCGGAGGCGGGTCGGGCCGGGGCTTTATGCAGATTATTATTACATCTTCTGCACTTTACGACCTCAAATATTACTGTTAAGTTCCACCCGGTGTGCTGCAGCCGGCCATAGTTTTGTTTTGCTGAGAGTCAGATGAGAAGATCAATAGCTTAGCTTAGTACAAAGACTACAAAGAGGGGGACCCGGGTAGCCTGGTTTCCGTCCAAAGAGATTCACGATTCCCGCTGGTCACGGAATACATGCTTGGATCCCCAATAGTGCGACGGTCAATCATTCATTGACGAGATTTGATCTTGCAAGTGTCAAAACAACGACCTGAGCAGGTGTGAGGCGAAGATCGTCTGGGTGCAAACGTTTACGCAAACTGCAGCCAAGCAAAGTTGTGCACGGAGATGTATTTATGTGTAGAGAAATACAATAATAGCTTGTAGAACAGGGAACAAGAGAATGGGAGCAGAGCAAAGAGAGGGTGGGTGGAGGTCGAAGAGCAAGGGAAAGTTAATAACTTGGAATAATAAATAATGCAACCCACTGATGGGAATTTGGCATCGAGGCCATTTATTATCATCAGTTAACTCGGTTTGCTTGACAAAAATGTCTGAGCTTACTGCTTTGCGGCTACTGTGCACTTGCAATCTGAGGAGATTTCATTACCGAAGACAACGTGTATGTTTGCTGTTTTATTCCTGTGATTAAGTGTCTGGTCTTGAAGTGTGGCTGCCATGGAGATGGCGGAGACAACTAATCCCAGATGACGCTGTGCCCAGAGGGGACGGATAAATGAGGACCACCAGGGTGGATAAAAGGGCTGCATGGCGACACTGCCTCTGCAGCCTGTACATGCACTATATTACTTAAAGCAAAGCAATGGACGGAGAGGGGTTTGACCAGTGCATCTTAAATGATATTCTCACTTTGCTCAAATAAATGAGCCTCGGTTCTCTGTGACAAAACCTGACTTTCCATTTGTAAAGGAAAACATTTTCGGTGACATTGGGTGACATTTGATTTTCCATTGCCCTAAAAACGAAAATAAGCAAATAAATTCCACAAAGTTCCACGATGGGGTTATGAGAAAACAGACGTAAGTATGGCTTTCTGTGATTTTCTATAAGATGTATTCCAAAAGTAAAAGCTGATCACCGGTGTTGTAGCTCAG